AAGTAAACGGCGTCCCCGGTTGGCAGTAGTAACGCTCAGCGTTGCGTCAGCCAGCCACTTTACCCGCTGTCTGATTAAACATTTGCCTTTGCCGTGTGTATAATATATACGTATAGCGATCGACGGCCCAGCTAGATGCGACGAGGCTATAGAGGCTCCCTCGCTTTCTGTTTCGCAATTAACACTAATGGCCCTGGCATCTACATGTACCGGGTGGAGCGCAATTATATTTACGCGATCGTGCTTTCAATTTGGTGATTAAAGGAGTTTTTTTTTTTTTTTTATATATATTTATGTTACCATCGATAATGTGCCAATAAAAAATAAACTCACGGAAAAACTGCACCAGGAGGGGGAGGGTGGTCCCTCGGGGGAAACAGCACTCTGCCCCGATTTCAATTCCATTAACGGCGAAAAGATTCGTACGTTATACGTGCAAGCGTGTACAAAGACACTGGCGCTCACTTGTCGGGGTGCACGGCTCCTATTACGCTGATGGGGGAGTCCTTTTCAATTAGGCGTCGAAAAGGTACGTCACATCGGAGCCGCACGCGTGGACGAGTCGTAAATGTCAACCGTTGATCCCGGGATCCGGCTTGTCGCTCGCTCTAATTAAAGACGCGCTCGAACTGAATTTCGACGCGCCGCTGCGATACCCCGGGATTAATCACTCGATAGCGTCGATCGCGCCATGCGTCATAGTTATTCGGTCTTCTTCTTTAATTAAGAAAATGACTGTCTTTTCAAGTTGCGGCAAGTCCCCCGGGTGTATAGTATCGCGCTACTCCGAACCAGAGTCATTTGATCGAATGAGCCGCCCGAGCATTGTGTCCTCGAGTGAATTTACAGTGATGCGCAAGTGATTGCCAGTCGCTGCAATTTACCCCTCACGCGTGGCGATGAGCAACTTTGTTAAACAAAATGACTCGCTCCTATACGTTTTTTCCATCGGGTACGCGATTCTAATCTCCCCGAGAATCCTTGTTTCCTTCCTCACCCAAAGTCTGCGACGCGCACCCCCTTTGACAAACTCTATTACCCAGCGCCGCGAGCATGGAAAAACCGAAACTAAATTTTCAATCGCGTACCCATTACCACGCGTTTCCATCTGCTGGGATTGATTATTTATGCAGAACGAACAAAAAAAAGAGAGAGAGAACGAAACCAAAGCGTCGAGCTTTCCGGGCGAAACGAACGTGTATGGCGTTCGGAATCGCGTTGGTCCGTAATTTTCTCTTTGTTTCGTCCTCCCTCCCTTGGTAGCCTTTGTCCGCAGAGGAGCGGGAATGCGGTCCACGGCGGATATTACCCCACCATTGTCTCCGGTCGCCGCGTACGATAAAAATCGACCAGAACTGCTGTACGATTAAAGTACGCTGAACGCGCTCACTAGGAAAAAAAAATCAACAGCGCGACTTTTAAATGCAGTGGACGAGACTCCCTTTTTATATCGGCCACAAAGGGAAAAGGAGCACAATATTGAAATAACATATTTGCAAGTACTCGCACTCGAGACCGTAAAGAAAGTCCCTGGGGAGGCTGGAGCGTAAAAGTGGGTCAAGCCGTCGCGAAAGGATCAAACGAAACGCGAGTTTGTACGTGTGCGCACCGATCACCAAAAAGGGGAAAAGTTTGCCGAGTTCTTTTTTCCCTCCGACCGAAGAGCCACTGGCTTTTTACAGCCCCAGAGTGTGTCGCATCTTCGTATAGACCAGGAATAAGGTAGACGGTTTTTTTTTCCTCCCCAAGTATATATATATATATCAAAAGGAAGCCGCGGTATGTAAGAGCCGCTTGCAGTTTCGCGACAGTTTGATCTCGGCCACGTCATTCCAGAGTATACATGTATATATATAGGTCGCGGAGAAGAAAAAAAAGCGCCAGCGCAACTTTGGAAAAACTCGCTCGAGCCAGGCCTTGACGACGGTAGATTCACTCGAGCGGTTTCCGACAAAAGTCCACCCCGACGGATCCCCTAATGAGATCATTATACGTAATGAACGGAGTCTGCGGCCGCGGACGGAATTAACGATCGGCCGCGGGTATCCATCGAGCTCGTATCGGGAAATAATGGCTCAAAGAGGGCCCAGGCCTTTTCCCGAGTCATGATATACAGGCGTCGCAGGACGACTTGTTCACTCGACAAAAGGAAGAACACAACCAAAGGATACATACAGTTGTAGAGTCGATGCGACGAGAATAAAAAAAGTAGGGGATGGGAGGGAAGGAGCCACGACCAAGGCAGTGCCGTCACGAAAGTTTAACGAAACTCGGAAGATTAGTGCAACTCTCGGAGGAGCAGCCGGACGCTTTCGACGTGCGGGGATTTCTCCGCGGTACTCTCCCTTATTCTTTTTTCCTTCGCACCGAGCTTTTAATTTAGCGATAAAAGAGAACGGACGGGCTCACCTGGCTCTTTGGTGCTTCTTCGCGATGATTATTCAGCCATTAGAGTTACTCCTGGAAACTCAAAGGCGACCCTCCCAAAAAACGTAGACCCGCCTACATACAGGGTCGTACAGTCACACTCAAAGAGTATACATATAAATATATACCCTCCTAGTTTTATTCTTAACGCGAGCGCCCGCGTCGTTTAACAGCATAAGCCTCGAGGCGGAGCTTTTTATTTCGGTTCTCGCGTGTGGTATTAGGCGCTTTGCGGAAAATTGCGAGTGTAGAAGCGCGCGAGAGCAGTGGGTACGGTACAGAGGGACTAACTCGGTTACCTCCCTTTGTGCCCGGGTTATTCTTTTCCGGAGGCCGGCCCAGTGGAGCAAGGGAGTTTGATTCTCGGGCTTTCTTATGCATATGAAGCACCTCAGGGATGATTTAGGGCAGGGGAGGGGCTCTGGGTGATTACACGCCGTCCCCCCCCCCCCACCTTTTTTTCTTTTCCGCTCGCAGTTTCTTTTGAAGGGACGCGAAAGAGCAGGAAAGGACGCGGGTCGCGGCTTAATGTTGCACAAACGGGCTCCTTTTAATTCCAAATGAAGCGGGGGTGGGGATGGTGCGGGGTAATTGTTATTTCGTATCGCACACATCAAAGTTTTTTGCAATAGTTTTGGAGCAACGTGGGAAAAAAAAATAAAATAAAATAAAAAAAAAGAAAGAAAAAAAGCTCAAACGTCGTGTACGTCTCAACCGCATGTCGCGACCACAGCTGTGGAGAGCCCGAGGCGCTTAAAATCGGAGGATAACGCGATCGATCCTCCGGTTCTACCGAAAAAGGGGGAGAAGTTATGCAAAGCATCCCTCGAAGGTCGGCAAGTGTGCCGCGGCCTCGAAGATCTCGGGCAAAAACTCTCCGATGCCGGAGCACCTATATACATAGCAAAGACGCAAAATCTCGGCGAAACAGTTTTAAGGGAGGTGGAGGGCGGCTCGTACACCCATGGACAGGCAAGAAAAGCAAAGGAAACTCCGAGTTGTGCCGTGTATGTAAAGGTATACGTGTTCACGAAATGGGCAAAATTCCCTTAGTCGAGCTAGCCTCGCAGCCACTGCCACGGGTCAGCTGATCCTTCCCCCCTGCCATATCCCTTGGGAGTTTCCACGGTGGTAACGGTATACCACTATATTTATGTACACACGCGTTGCGAGAGGTACACGCGAAATATAAGAGCAACTGGAGAGAGAGAGAGAGAGAGAGAGAGAGAGAGGTGTATTAGGTGTGTGTGTGTGCGCGAAGGAGTTTAGCCGCTCCGGTGGACTGTAACTCGGAGCACCGCACACCTCGACGCTTCGCCACTGCTGCAACCTCCCTCCCCCTCCGTACCCATACACGTATTTACGTGTACACACGCACGTTGGTATTTACACGGCTTGCAATGTATACGTGGACTTCCTTCCCTCCTTCCTTCCTTTCGCTCGGGCCCCGGGGAAGATTATTTAATCTCGGCCGCGAAATCCGTTATCCTCGCCGGCTGACCGTCCCTCGGTGAGCGAGTACACGATACAACTTTGACTAATATCGCGTCCAAACCCTCCTCCACCCCTTCGCTTCTTCCACTGGCTGTGATTTTCTGTTACATGGATTTAGAGAGGAGGTGCGGAGGATCATGCGGGCAGATAAACTCTTTCTCTCTCTGGACGGTGTGGACCTTTTGGGTATTATACATGTACTCGGGAAATTTCGAGCTGTTGGGCAATTGTTTGTGTTATTAGTACCGGTTGAAGATTTTTCTTTTTCTTTTTTCTTAGTAACGATTAAAATTCTTCTTTGCCGATTAATTATTTATGGACAGCATTAATATGTGTATATTGAAATCAGACGTCCCTTAAAAGGGGAAACAACCATAAAAAGGCACACCAACTGATTTTTGTGCTGTTGGTAACTAACTGTATAGTTTTATTGGGCAAAGTCTAAAAATATTTTAAAACTTTCGTATACAATATCCCACTTAACGAGCAATGACCCCCACAATCAAACCCACGATAAAAAAGGTAAAAAAAAAAAAGAAAACCCGTGTCACACTTATCACAGCAATAATCGTCGTTGTCACGGATATTGGTTACAGCTATACCGTAGGTATACATACATACAGAAGATTTTCTCCTTTCTCGGTCTTGCGCGGGTTATTAATCACTGTCTCACTCGAATGGAGGGCGAGAATACCGTGTAATTTCTCGACAATCTTGCCGTGCTCTAAACCCCCCCCCCCCCGCCTCCTCCTTCCTCTTCCGAAGAAAGATAATTGCGAGAGAGAGAGAGAGAGAAGGAGGGAGCAAAGAGTCGGGAAAATGGATAATGAGATTCGCCGAGAGCCCTTCCTCCCTTTGCCGTTCTCGTTAATGTCGCAAAATCGCTCCACGTACGCGTTCGTCGCCAATTAGACCGAAATGCTTATGTTTGATGATTCACGACACGTAGGGACCATTCGAGCACATAGACCATCATCGTGTATCGATGGAAAACCCATCCCACCCAATAATACCTGACGCAAAAAAAAAAAAAAAAAAAAAAAATCAAATTGATGAAAAAGCTGTTGATGACGTTTCAGACCCGTGCTCGGGAGTCCAGTGCACGGAGCCCGAGATCTGCCAGCTCGACGATTCCAGGCAGCCGGCTTGCCGATGCAGCGAGCAGTGCAGCTCGGACATCAAACCGGTCTGCGGCAGCGACGGCAAGACCTACTCCAACGAGTGCAACCTCATACTCGAGGCCTGCAGATCGCGCATGTCCCTGCGCACCGTCTACGAGGGCGCCTGCAACTCGGGTGAGTTTTTCAAATACGTCTCGTCGATCGATCGATCGCACGGCATGGACTAACCATTTTTTTTTTTTTTTTTTTTTTTGCCCCTTGGGCTCTCAACGGGTGGTGGAAACGATTACTATTACCGTACAATTTTACGTAGACTTTTTTTTTTATTGTATTTCGCACACGGAGTATAATCATTGAAATGGAACACTTTGCACCAGCTTGCGTGTCTTAACTTTGTCGGATAGTTGTACATGCATAACTGTACGTTAACAACAGTAGAAATTAGACTAAACCAGAGTGGACGGTCAACGATGAGATTTTTCGTCTTCGTTTGCCCGGCGAATCCACGGAAAGGAAGGACCTCTCACTGGTGACTTTTTTTTATATACGTCTTGATGATCGTGAGAGAAAAAGTCCCAAGCGAGAGGAATCGGGGGAGGGGAGAAAAAGAACCCAACGGCGAGGTCGCCACGTTATCTGTTTAGGGGTGAACCCGTGCGACGGTGCCAACTGCGGGCCCCAGGAGCAGTGCGCGATCGACCGGTTCGGCATAGCCAAGTGCGAGTGCGGCCCCACCTGCGAGCCGATCATGAAGCCGATCTGCGCCAAGGGCGGCACCACCTACATGTCCATGTGCGAGCTCAGACGGCAGGCTTGCCTCGCCAAAGTTAGCATCGAGGTCGCTTACGTCGGCACCTGCGGATCCAAGGGCCCTTGCTCGGAGAAGGTTTGTACCTTTTTTTTTTTTTTTTTCTTTTCTTTTTAACGTGTACAGTGTGTGTACCATAAATCCACATAGAAATCGTGTGATTGGATGATTAAAGCTCCGAGACAGGTGGCACGACAAAATGTGTGTTTCTTCGGTTGTCAAACGATCCCTCGACTGTAACTCTCGCGTCTTTGGAAAACCAAGCAAGCAGCGATGGATGTACGTACGAGTGAGGGGTGCGAGAACTCGATCGAGCGAATTACCAAGGGCTCGCGTTCTCGAGTGGGACTTTCGTCAAAGGCTCGTTCGTGCGTTTAGCCTTTGACTTGCCCCGCTCTTGGGCGTATGTATGTACTCACTACGATTTCTCCTTTTAAAGGCTACCAAGCGGCCGAGTCGACGTGTGGAGGGCCGCCGTGGGTGGTTTCCGAGAGGTTTCGAGATTGAGATTCGGGATTTTGAGGACTATCGTACTGATCGTTGATTTTTCCCGGTAGACGCAACGAGTCGGTTAAAAGGATTTTAGAGCAATGCGCGGTTTATTTACTTCCTCCAGCCATCGACGTATTTCGATCAATGATTGTGCCAAATTGCCAGAAAAAAATGTTGTAAGAAGTACAAAGTAGACATTCTTTTTTCATCTCAAGTAGTGGGACAAAAAGAAATTCCTTTAATTGAAGGGAAGGTCGCGATGAAATTTTTAATCAAGAGCCGAAAGCCGCGTACTTGAAAAATATCGGTCACGATTGGTACGGTTGTATAGTAAAGGGAGAGCCCGTTAACTCACAAAGATCCTTGACCCGGTAAAAAAAAAAAAAAAATTCACTCCAACCAACCAAATTGAAATCCCCCTCTCCACTTGTACAACAAACTAATGAGCTCGACGATTCCTATCTCGTAAGTTTAAAACAACTTTAAAAACTTTATCGATGGAATGAAGTTTAAAAACAATGTCACTTGATGGTGTGGAGTGGTCATCGATATCCATCTACTATGAATAGGTCGAATACTATGAAAAGAAAAAAAAAAAAACATGAAACATTCCCTTTGCAGATTTGCCAATGGGGTGCCGTTTGCGTGGAAGAGGGCGATCAGGCCATCTGCGAGTGTCCCAGTTGCACCAACGAATTCAAGCCCGTTTGCGGCGACGACGGCATCACTTACGGGAACGAGTGCAAACTTCGCTACGAGGCTTGCCAACGCAAGCGTGAAATACGCATTTTGTACCACGAGCAGTGCAGTAAGTAACCGTAGATGATTAATGACTTTACCCAAATTATTTTTATTTTTCAATGAAAATTCAAGTATTTCGTGTCCTGCTTATATAAGGACAAATTAGCCCTGAAATTTGAATATTAGACATCGCGAATGAACTTGATGCAAATATAATTTTTTTTTTTTTTTTCATACCAAACTCATCGCTCACTTTTCAATTAGGGCGCACTCTTTTGTGATTGGGTTAATTAAATACAACGGGGGTAATGAAAAGTTTCGATGGACCGGCTTTTCGAGTGGCTCGCAGAGCCCGAGTGTTTTATCGATTTACCCCGAGCGACGGGGATAAAAGTTAATAATTTTCCCCCAATCCGATGGCTAAATACCGACGGCGATGACCGTCGGGGGTGGGGGGGAAAAAAAAATATATTCGAGCGACCGATTGATCGAAAATTTCCCGGAGCTCGCGGGTGCTTTTAACAATAATGGCGTGTGCGAAATGACGCTCAAACAAATTGGCCCCACCTTCCTGTCAGCCATGGAATTTTTCGTTTAATTAACGCGGACTAATGAACTATACGCCATGGTATAAACTCGCGCGAGTAATCGATACGCGGCTCGATGCTGGTGTCGATGGGACATTTTTCAAATTCCAATTTGTCGTTTTATTACAGCGAGGGTGACATTTTACCGGGATGCCCGACTGAATACAAAACAAATTACTCCGAATATTGAAAATTGCAAGATGAAGGGATTTTAACTGTAGCTACTAACAGAAAAAAAGCTTGTTTGCATCCGCGACACACGTGGGTGTCACGCGCGTCACTGTTAGTTGTCCGGCTCGGACATTTCCATAAGCAGGCTTGGCTCCTTACACTTCAGTTTGAAGTGTTTTCCCTCTAAGTATCGCCTTTTGGGATTTCGAGGGAGTGCCAATCACGATTAAATATACGATTGAAAGCGAAGGTGTGAAAAAAATAAAATAAAATTGGGGAGGGTGTACACGTGAGCTTTTCCTGATCCAAAAGAGATTCGCGAAATGTGTGGGCTGACGCGTGAGTACACAAGTGGATATATTTGCTAGGGAAATTACGTTTTCTTCGTCTTTCCCTCTGTTCTTACCAGTTACGGGATGTATGATTCGGAAAAATTTCAAAACGTGCAAACACCGGAAAAAAGACCCCCTCGATCCATATCTGCATGGGAGAAACCCGAAAGAACCCCACCTGTACTCTAAGGGCTGCCCACCCTCATGCTCCTCGAAATCTGTTAAAGTCCCTGCGAGCGGACTATCTCTCTCGGTGATCCTTTTCTAAGCTCCCCAGGTCCCACCTTCGTAAACATTTTACTCACGGGCGTGGAGAGAAAGGGCTTACCGAGATTGCAAATTCAGTGTTGCCGCGCATGAGATATCTTGTTAATTTTATCAACCCAGGGTCGCCCCGGGAAGCTGGAAATTGAAATTTCCACGGGATGTATTGTACGCCCCGTTGGCGTGGCTTGCGTTTCGCGGGGAGGGAAAGAATATTATTATTTCACTACGGCGTTCAAATGCATCACGCGGAAATATGAAGAAATAACAAATAAACATACGTCAAAGTGAAAGGTTTTTTTTTTTTTCTTTAGTTGCATAATTGAATTTCATGTGTAGGTTGATACCAGAGAGACCTCGGTGTTGAAAATCGGGAGCTTTAATGTCCACCCTAATATTTGTTGTAAAATAATGTAAAATTCGTGTAATTCGCGTTAACAAGGGGCTTTAAGTGCACCTGTCCAGTTGAGCAACTATGGTAAAAAGTACACCTCGAAAGCAATGAATATTGATAATCTCGATCGCCACGAATTGAGATGGTAAAAAGAGGGGGGGGAGGAACTGTAGGGCAAAGCTCGAGGGTCTTGGTGAAAGTTGAAGAATGGGCACTTTTCCCGGCAATTAATTAGCCGCACAAACGAGTCGAGGGAGATAAACAGAGACGAGCGCGATCGGGAAAAGAAAGCTCGACCGACAAAGGGAGTCGGCGCCGAGGAGGGTGATGGTCAGACTCGCTCGATCGATCGCCAACTGAGAGCCATTTGTTTCGTTTTCTGTTTACAGATGGCTGCGAGAACAAGAAGTGCGATCATTACGGCAAGTGTGAGAGCGACGCCAGCGGTGAGGCCAAGTGCGTCTGTCCGACCGATTGCGCGGATACGGTGAGTTTTAATGGCCAACCTATACGTACTTTGTTTGCCGAGCTCCATATTGACTGTTTCCCTTTTTTTTCTGATGGATACTTTTGTTGAGTTATCGTCTGGCGTTTCGATTGACCTCTCGTTGGAGAAGCAGTACTTTACCACCCGTTTGGGAAAAATAATTGCTGGTTCCATGAAACAACGCAATTTCACAGAGCCCCACTAATTTTCAACAAAAATGGTCCTCCCGATTGCAAAAAGTATCGCGACGCACGAGCGAACCAGGATGGGTTTTTTGCTCCTTTGTGCACCATTGGAGTGCAAGTGATTTCGCAAAGGGGCGACCACTTTGTGAAACTGTCGAGGAAAAATACTCTCAATTCCCCGGCCGTACACGCGTAAACACTCCCTCCGAGCTTTTGATTTTCACTATTTTTTTTCCTTGTCCCTGTGTACAAAAAGGTCCAGGTGTAACGGATAAGGAAAATTTGAAGATAGTTCCCGAGGGTGGGTGCGGGAAAATTCGAAAACTGAGAAAACTGCGCAAAAGAAGAGCTGTACACGCGGGAAACTTCACTGAGTGTGGGTTCATTTGCACGTAAGTATATTAGTAATGGGAATTTAGATTTGTTCGTTAATCAGATATTTCAATCAACAACGAATGATTGCCGTTAATTTGACGAAATTACGTTGATGGGAGGAAAACGAAATGGGAGAATGACAATTATGGAAAATTAATGTAATTTTGAGCGTAAACATGTTTGTTTTTTTTTTCTATTAAGCAATAACAACTCTATTATCAATTGCGAAATTGATGTTTAGCGCAGTCGCGGTTGATTCGTAAATGTTACCTCTCTCGTATTACCGTGCAATATCGTCAAAAGTTAACAAATGGTCCCCACCACGATTCTCGCAATTAATAACCTCATTATGTGCATGTGTACAATAAAGGAGTAGGTAAACGCGAGTCCGTCAATCAAATCTGCTGATGTACTGTACGAGGACATTCGGTTGAATACATATTTATTTATTTTTCACGCAAGAAATACGCGCAATAGTAAAAGGCTTCTGTTGATTCGATACAATGTTCACGTGGAGCTATTTAATTTTCAATGCACCAACAAACATCCAAAGGAAAATCAACCACATGCTTATTATAGCCATAATGAAAGACAAACTGGTCCTGGTAAACGATACGCGTAAGCATTGTTCGAACTACAATGCGTCCAACTCCCGAAACGAAAAATTGATGTTACATACAAATTTTTTCAAATTACAAATTTTTCCTCCAAACTTGCATCTGAATGCTTCTTTATGAAAAAAAACGTGCAATTTCCCAAAAGAGGACGTATACACGTACAAAAAAGGTCCCTTTGAGGCGGTAAAGCCACGCAGCGTGAAGCTCGTAAAACAAATTAATTAAGCCGTCTGTCCCACTGTTGCTTTTGATCACATGGAATTACCTCGTGGAGCTCGAGTGAAACGCATTAGCCCTGCCGTATCGTAACATTAAAAGGATAAAGTGAACAACTTTGGCATCACAAAACACGACAGCGCCTCCACCAATTGATAACTTCATTAAGCTTAACTCAATGCATACCGCTCCTCCCGCGAACTTCTATACCACCTTTGGATTTCCCACGTGTTCACCAGATGCGCAATTTTCCCCGAAAACCGACAAGGGGCCCAAAACTCGGTGTTGCGTTTCCTTCCAAGTTTTCTCGTCTCGCGAAAGTAGAAAGTACCCGCAACGAAGCTGCCTGGTGCGGGTGTGCGTTACGTATAATAAGCTGCGCACTCGTCACTCGCTCATCGAATTCAATTAGAGAACCAAAGTATACGAGCCGGCAATAAACAACTTTACGAGCCACGTTGTACCCGTGTACACTTGGACCGCGTATAAACATGAACTTTCCGCGCTTCTGTACTTCCCGGGAGAGGTATCGAGCCAAGGGGGAAAAACAAAACTTGCCCCGAAACGTGAAATGAAAACTCGGATAACCAAGCAAATTGGCTAATAAAGCCCCGCGAGTCCACGTACCCACGCGGTGCCTAACAAGCACGGAGCTCGTTTGATCGCACTTTGGACTCAATAGAGCGTAAAACAGCCCTTTCGAGAGAAGCTACCTCGCGACGAGGGTGAATCACCAATTAAGCTTACCCCCTCTCTCCTTAGCAAAGAGTTTTTTGCCGGTCTACCGCGTGGCTATGTGTGTTCATCACTCCCGGCTTTTTGTCCCGTATAGATTGCGCGTGTGTGTGTGTGTGGGTTGCAAGCGCTTCGACGTTTGACTATGCGTTTGTCGGTAACAGGAGGAGAGCCTGGTCTGCGGCTCGAACGGCAAAACTTACGAGAACGAGTGCGAGCTCAGGCGTGAGTCCTGCAACAGCCAGGCCGTCGTCGTCGTCAGCTACAGGGGAGACTGCGGTGAGTGTGATGTCATACCGTGCAAGTAGTACAGCCCCGTTTTGGTCAGACGAGTAAGGACGTGGCGGGTGTGTGTGTTTCCAGGTCTGTGCGCCAACGTCAAGTGCGAGAATGGGGCTCGTTGCGAGGCCGGGGCGTGCGTCTGTCCGCAGGTGTGCCCGGAGCCAACGGGTGACTCGGTCTGCGGCAGCGACACCAAGACCTACTCCTCCGAGTGCGAGTTGCAGAGGGAGGCGTGCCAACGGGACCCCAAGCTCCCCCACCTGCGGCTCAACTTTTACGGCGAGTGCGGCGAGGGATTCCCCGTCGCTGCCCTCAGTTAGTATACACTTTGTGTTATGTACACCTTTTTGTTCCACTCTGAATTTTCCCTCGGGCCCCAAAAAAAAAAAAAAAAAAACTCATATTTGCCCGTAGCGACCACGTCGACGCCGTCGATAACTCAGCTGGCTACGTCCGACGAGGTGACCTCGGCTACGGAGTTGCAGGCGTGCCGGGACATACACTGCAACTTCAACGCCACCTGCGAATTGGGCCCGGACAAGTTTCCGCGTTGCAGCTGCAAGTTCGATTGCGGCTCCATGGCTCCGGAGAACATGCAGCCGGTCTGCGGCAGTGACTTGCAGACATACCCGAGCAAGTGCCACATGCTCATGCAGGCTTGCCAGAGACAGCAGGAGCTCAGGCTCAGGCCCCTCGACCTGTGCCAAGGTTATTATTATTATTACATCCTCTTTGTACACTACTGTTTGCTTTGCGTCTCTATGTATACGGTAGCTTGGTCTTTTTTACCTGGATTTGTATCGTTCCTTTACTTTCCGTTTATTGGAGTGCGGTAGTTTTGAAAGAGCAACGTGCACCTCAGCAATTTTATGAGGAATTTTTATCAACTATTTATAACCAGCTTTGTGGAATCGTACAGTTTGAAAAAAGGTAGATTGATATCTGTCGGGTATTATGTACTTGGATTCACTACACTGGCTTCAAAACATTTGATCCAAGCCAACATTTTAGTACCACAACTCACTCGAACTTGTCGCATTATAAGATTCCAACTGAGCAGCTTCCGCTCACGGTTACACGAGCTCTCCCTCGCGATTAAAATCTTCCAAAGTACGGCTGGCCATGGCACTAATGTAACTTTTGACGTGTTCGTGGCGCCACCGATTTAGGTTTGGAGGTGAAGCCGTGCAACGGGGAGCAGCCCGTGATCGACGACGAGGGCAACGAGTACTACTGCGGCAACGGACCGGATCGCCGCGACTGTCCCAGTCACTCGTACTGCCACCAAACCCCTAGATTCGCTCGCTGCTGCAAGAAAGGTGAGCCCAATCTCATTGTACTAACATTACACGTTTGGCAATCCATACTATACACGATTGGCACGATGAGAGATCGGTAAATAATAAATACATCGAGTAAAAATAGTAGCAGGGAAGCAGGTGACGAGGTGCGAGGACTCGTGGCACGGCTGCTGCCCGAACGGCAAGACCGCAGCCCTGGGTCCCAACGGGGCTGGCTGCCCGGACGTATGCAGCTGCAATCGGCTCGGCAGTCTGGCCGACACCTGCGACCCCGAGAGCGGCCAGTGCAGCTGCCGGCCCGGGGTCGGTGGGCTCAAGTGCGACAGGTGCATGCCCGGCTACTGGGGCCTCTCCAAGACCGACAAGGGCCACAAGGGCTGCATACGTAAGACTCGCAATGTGATCGGTATCCTTAAAAAATTATACAGGACGATTATTGAAACGGCGCGCGACTTTTGCTTGTGTTTTTAGCTTGCGGCTGCTCGCTATTTGGCTCGACGCGCGAGGACTGCGAGCAAATGACCGGCTCGTGCGTCTGCAAGCCCGACATACAGGGGAAAAAGTGCACCATATGCACCGATCACACCAAGATACTCACGCCCAAAGGCTGTCAGCCAGGTACTGTTTCTTCATTGCCTACTTTTTTTTTTCTCTTTTTTTTTTTTTTTCTTTCATCACATGTATACATAACCACGGCTTTTTTTCTCAATGGTGTGGTTTTATCGCGCAATTGTTCTGGATTAACAGGTGTGGAGTTTTTTTTTTTTTTTTTTCTTTCGAGTGAATAAACTCAGAGCTTACTAACTAACAACGAGATGACACAAAAATTAAAAAGATTTTTCAATTTTATATAATGCAATAGTCTCGGTCGACAGACGATGGACCGACAATTAAACGTGAGCAATGAAAATCATTTACCGAGTGATGACCCGATCCTCGAAATGGCACATTTACAATTACACGCACGGACATATATATTCCCTGTTCGAAAAAACAAACGAAAACAAAAAAAAAAAAAAGGCAGAAAAAATGCATCGGGTGAATCCACAGTGGGCGCGGTGTTGCCGATCCCAACGAGTTGCAGCGAGCTCGAGTGCTACTCCGGGGGCCAGTGCAGCGAGACGAGCGACGCCGACGGGGGTCCGGTGGGTCCCCACTGTGTCTGCCCGCAGAGCTGTCCCCAGGACACCGACGAAACGACCGTCTGCGGCAGCGACAGCCAGACCTACGTCAACGAGTGCGAGCTACGGCTGTACGCCTGCCGCTACCAGACCGACGTCGTGTCCCAGGCGTTCGGCCACTGCAGAGGTGGGTCCCACCATCGGCCCGACAATCGCAAGATCGGCTCACAGCCTCGCAGGCCCAACTCCATCGGATACTGAATCTCGACCACGACGACGCGAGAGGCTTTTTAGTCGGCTTTTTACCGAGCTTGATGACTTTTTCTTTTCTTTTTTCTTTTTTTTTTTTTTTTTTTTTCAAAACATTNGAGCCGGACGCGCGGTACTACTACACGAACCGAGCCCAGTTCCAGGAAACGGTACCCGTTGACCGTAAAAGCCTCAAGCACGGTAATTTACATTATTATTATTTTTTTTTTTTTATCAGTCATTTTTCCGATGTATTTATATAAATATTATATTCGACCAACTTTTACAACTTTAAAATATATATCTTCAGCTGTCAAAACTGACTCTCTCATCTTGTGATGTGGATTAAGTGTAATGATAATTAAAAAAAAAAAAAAAGAATCTGTTATTGCGTGTTGAAAAATTTTACTAACTTGGTACCTTAGAGCTTTGGGAACCTCAAATTAACACTTAAATGTTCATTGTATAAAGAAATAAAGTACTCACACGTTTGTACGATGATGGCAAACTAATTTTTACCCTCAACCACCCCAACCCTCTATAAACGTATACTCAACACTAACGCTATTTTGTTTTGTTTCGTATACATGTTTTGGTTTATTGTAGTATATTTTTTAGTTTCACTAACTCACTAATCATTTACAAACTTTAACATTGGATTCTGCAGCAATGCCGATATTTATACATTTATTGGTTTATCTCCTTCTCATCCGTCATCAGTTCACAACAAAGAGACTCTTTTCCAGCGAATAAAGACGCAACTTTATTTAAACGGAGTCTTGTACAGTCGACTCGTAAACTCGCAACTTTGGACCCCTTTAAAAAGGAAGACTCCATTCATCGATAATCAGGAACGAGCAAAAGCAATCAAAAGTTGCACCGCGAGCACGGCTGATCGTCGAATTAAACAAATTCCATTATCAAGTGACATTTCCAAACAGACAGCCAAGAGGAAAACTCTCCTTCCCCCCCCCCCACGGCCCCTTATTTACATTTATTTCCGATTTCGGTCTGTTCTCGCATATATATACAGTATACATGCTCTTCGACGTTTTGCTCCGTCCTCGTGTTTTATATATCTCGTCGCGAAGAAAAAGCGAGTCAATCTTTTTAGAAAAGTTTTTCGAGACTCCCCTCACCGCCGCGTCTATTTTCTTTCTACACCACAAGAGAAAGTTGGCGCAAATTGGATTACGGAGTAGGCCAATTTCTCCGGGGATACTTTTCGAAGCTTTGCAACAACAGGAGGAATGGAAAAAAAGGATAGAGAAAGAGAGAGAGATACGAGAACAAGAGGAAGGTGAGAGAAAGAGAGGGCACACGATAAAGTCGCAAATGGATGTCGGGATTTCGTTGATACGGTGTGGTTGAAAAACATATACCTGTAACCCCAAACAAATCATTTTTCAACCTCCAAAGGCCATTGGATCGAAAAGTTGAACTTGAATTTATACTTTGTTTGACGAAACGTAAAAGGGGTGAAATGATGCGTGTGAAACGGTTGGAATTGTTTTAATGCATCTCGTGCATATGTGTTATTGTTGTTGAAAAGTTTTTTTTTTTTTTTTTTTTTTTTTTTGTTAAAGAAATGCAATCGTATTTGAATTAAAATATCATTGGTAGCCTCGAGGCGAAAGATTTTTCAATTTATTAACATCCACGTGATATCGAGAGATTAAAATAAAATACACTGTATGAAATACCATTTCGGTGCATTTGCAAAGGTATATAAATACAGAAATCCATCGATTCACGAAACGGAACTTTGCACTCTGGAAAATTGATATTCATTCATTTTGTTTATTTTTTTCGTAATATGAAAATATTTGGACGAGAATAAAAAATATTTGCCTTTTACCGATGCATTCCAAAATGAATCAGTAAAATTCATCAAAACGAGTTTGCTTATCAATGTTTACACCGTCAATGTTAACTAAATAATTTAAACGTATAAACACAAACTTTTTATTTACCACATGGTCATAATTTGTTTTCCAGTCGCTCCAAACAATAATGGCCCCTAAGGTCCTCTAACAAACCAAAAAATCTCGAGTGCACAATCCGCCCGCAAACGCAGCAAAATAAATCCACCGCGTCTCGACTCCGGAGTATTTGCTCTTCGCTTCACGCGAACCAATAAAAGACCATTCGAACAATGCAAACTGCTGAACGACGACAATACCCTACGCGGACGCAAAAAGAAACGCGAGGAAGGAGCAATCTGGCCGTAATTAAAATACGGATCCACCTCGGCATCCCATCTCGCGGCGGTGTACAGGTGTAATAAAGATGCAACTAGTGGATCAAGCCCGACGATCCCTGGATATTTGTCCTCGCCGGTATTCTTCTTTGTTCGTTATTCCTCCCTGCCATTGGCGATCGATGGGTATATATGTATACGAGAGAGGGACGTTTTCATTAGATTGCCCACCTGCGAATCGAAAACTGCCGATGGCGGGACAATCGGACCTCCCCAACCTCGCACTATGAGACCCGGTAGCAGTTTGCTCCGACGACTCCCATTGTACATTTTTCTACGCCGCGTTTTGCAATGACCTGCCTTTCTTCTAAGGGGGGACGAAGAGATGTAAAATGTTGAGCATATCGTGCTAATTGCATCTGCTAGTTTGTATGTTTGAATATATAAATATATAGAGTTGTAGTTTGCGAGTCGACAGGACGATTTCATGTACATTCTCGGACACGAGAGCCACCCGTACGGTACTTTATGGTTGTTTCGCGCGATAAGATATGGTCTACTAAAAAGCCTCGGGGACGAGTAACCTCGTCTTCAAACAGTATCGCATGGAGTTGGCGGAGAACAAGTATCCTAAACCGTCACTTTTTCCAACAGATGATTCGATGACTAACACGGACTTCCCAGTGAAGAGGTTCACGGCAGTGCACTACACGCAACCGGCATCGGCCATTTCGCCCCTGTCCAAGTCGACGAGGCACCTGATGGTGCCGGAGCCGGACGCGCGGTACTACTACACGAACCGAGCCCAGTTCCAGGAAACGGTACCCGTTGACCGTAAAAGCCTCAAGCACGGTAATTTACATTATTATTATTTTTTTTTTTTTTTTTTTTTCATCTATTAGTATACATTTGGTTTTGGTTAAAATTGTATTTAGGATCAGCTGCAGCCTACCGTCCAACGCCAGCAACGATAAGGGTCGTGACACCCCTACTTGGTGACATTTGCAGCGAAGACAAGGACTGTGGCATAACGAACAGCGTTTGCCTGGACAGCCGTTGCATTTGCACCGACGGTTTCGCAGAGACGAGCGACCGACAGGATTGTAGCTTAGGTAAGGAAGTGCCCTGGCACTTGGGCTGGATAAATAAAGACTCGATTGAAAGATTATCGTTGAATCGATTCTTTTTCCCCCGATTTTTAAAAGTAATCACAATACTTGAAATTCACGTAGATTCCATTGTGTCGACTAAAATCCTGTTATTGTGTCTTAACAACTTTTCCTAAGTGTTACACGCACGTAGTTATTTGAACGTAATACTAATTATCATCTGTAGTCTTCTTGGCAATTTAGTTTGCAATCTACAGTTTCATTAAAAATAAATGTTTTTTCCATCAAGTAATCGAAAATCATTGATTATTATTATTTAAAAGCATCTCCACTAGCTAGCCATAAAAAGCAAACCTCGACTCTATTGTCCTTAGAAAACTACGCTCCAGTCACGCCGACGGAGGAATTCCGTGCCTGCCTATCCTTCCCATGTCATCATTCTGCTACGTGCATCGACCTTCCCGGCTCCACGTACACCTGCCGGTGTTCCGAAAACTACGCGGGCTACCACTGCGACGAGCAAATCAATCGGAGAGACTACGAGATTGCCTCCTTCGACGGCAAGAGCTACGTGCGTATGAGCCGGCTCAAGGCTTACCACCAGTTCAGCATAGAGCTGGAATTTAAGACTTACGCGGAAAACGGAATTATACTCTACGATCAGCAGAAGCAGGATGGCTCTGGTGACTTTGTGTCCATTGCGATCGTTGACGGGTTTGTTAATGTTTTTGCCAACTTCCCGAGCCCGAGATGACATTTTCAAAGCGTTAACTGATATCTTCTTTTTTCATCGATACGGGCAGATTTGTCCAGTTTAGATACAACCTGGGCAACGGACCAGTGATTCTCACGTCGCCAGAGCGAGTGACGATGAAAAAGTTCCACAAAATCGCTGCCAAAAGGTACCACAAAGACGGAATTCTGGTTTTCAATGACAACGACGAAGTGACCGGTCAGAGCGAAGGATTCCTCAAGAGTCTCGATCTCAATCACGACACCTTCATTGGCAACATACCCACAAACTACAGCAAGTAAGTGTTGCGTAGCCAAAAACATATAGGTGAACACGTTTTGAGTCCCAATTTATTAATAACAGAGTATTCGACAACATCGGAACGTCACACGGTTTTCTCGGCTGCATCCGCAAGCTGAACATCAATCGGATGACTGTAGACCTTCACCTTGGCTACGACAAAGAAGTCCTCGAGACGTACCGCATCAAAGAGTGCAGGGACAATGGCTGCGCGAATCTACCTTGCCAAAACGGAGCCACGTGTCAGCCCATCTTCGAGGAAGACCTGAACTGCCACGGCCACGACTGCGTCGTCGAGCCCCGCGCGAAGAGACGCAGTCTTAGGCGGCGCAAGGAAAAACGCACCAGCGCCGACTTGAACATCATCAAATGCAAGGGCAGCCAATGCGAGACTCTGAACGGGTCGAAAGATCAGAACAACAACGACGACAATGGCAACGACAGTCTCGACAGCCCAAGGAAGATGTGCCTCAGTCCTGGATGTGATTACGAATTCGAGTCGGATTACGACGAGAGCTACGAACACCATCAGGTAGTTTATTGATGACAACTCGGGGGTATCAACTTTGTTGGAGTACGTGAAATGATCGTGAACTTGACTTTTCATTAACAGGGCTACGAGAGCAACGATCTGGACTACCAGTGCATCTGCCCACCACAATACACGGGTAGAAACTGCGAGGACTCGCTGGATCCTTGCATGAGTAAACCATGTCACCACAGCGCGACTTGCGACATTATGCCCGAGGGTGGCTACGTGTGCAAGTGTCCACCTGGACGGACGGGGGTACACTGCCAAACGCGTAAGTATAATCACAGCATATCCCTCGTAAAATGGGCCAAAAGACGTATAATCTCCGTCGCAATAGTGGATGCCGAGTTGACAGAGTTCCTCGTCCCGGAGATGACAGGCAACGGATACATCGAGCTCCCATGTCTCGACAACGTGGGTAAATCCTTCAACATCGAGATTTGGTTCCTCACCCGAGCTACCGACGGTCTGCTCTTGTACAACGGCCAGTTGACGAGCGGCAGAGGCGACTTTGTCAGTCTGAATCTGGTTCAGGGCCAACTGGAGTTCCGGTACAACCTCGGCAGTGGCATAGCCAACATCACTTCGCCGGATCCGGTTACGCTCGACACCTGGCACTCGGTGAGAATCAGCAGGCTCGGGGCAGAGGGGCTACTCAGGCTGGACAACGGCACCGTAGCCCGGGGCTTCTCGGGCGATCCGCTCACCGAGTTGAATCTCGAGCTCCCGCTCTACGTCGGTGGAGTCAAGTGAGTTGCCTTTTGTATCCATCACGAAACTCGAGAGACCGAGTGCTTATACCCATTCGGTTGTTTAGGCACTGGCACGAGGTGCACTTCCTGGCTGGGGCGACGGTGGGTCTGAACGGTGCCGTCCAGAGGATCATGATCAACGAGAAGATATACCAGAACTTGGCGGTGAATGTGACGCAGCAAAACACGGCGGTCTACGACGGTCTACCCTGCCCGAGCAACTCGAATCCATGTCGCAACGGTGGAGCCTGCTTTCCCATGCTCAACAGTTTCTTCTGCAAGTGCGCGTCTGGCTATGACGGCTTGATCTGCGAGTTTTGTAAGTTGTTTTTTTTTTTCGTTTTAATGATAAAGGATTTTTTTCATTGCCTTTCGGAAGCTATAATTTTTTTGATCAAAATGACACGATGTTTCAGCCCTGGGGTACGATTCTTCAGGCAAGGAAGTGGTCGAACAGGCCGTGAGATTCAATGGGGACAACTTCCTTCAGTTCAAGCATCGATTTGGAAGGAGGTTTGTTTTTTTTTTTTTTTTTACTTCTCTGTAGTGTTAAAATAGATGCTTGTGACATCAAACCTCTAGGAGATTCTGATCTTGCAATGTAATGTAAAGTTATTCCTTGTGAGAATCGTTTCAAAAATCATTGACGAATTTTAATTTCATGTAATTTTGAGTTCAGAAAAAAATGTTTTTAATAAAATACAAAAAAAAATGATTTACGAGATCCAAATTTCGTAATCGCTTAGGTATAAGAATCAATTTAATACTCTTGTTGCAACTCAGTAACGCTTGGATTTACAGTTTCAATGAGATACATACTTACACGATAGCTTAGAACAAAGCGCGGTCTAGCATACATATGAATAACAAAAGTGGTAAATCTCAGTGCTCATAACTTAATACACCCAGCCCTTAGTCATCAGCGTACAATAACCCGACTAACTCCTCGGCTGTTGATAATAGAAACTAACTTTTCCCCCATAGTCCTAATGCTACTAACACCACGATACTCGGCGATTACGCCGACGAGTCCTACACTGACTACGAAACGGCGGAGGACGATCTCTACGACGAGTATGAGAATTACGACTACAGTGAGTAAGTCTATAACCAACGATGCTTCAAATTGTCCCCTCGCACCTCCTCTGCTCATAATATAGCGCACGGATTACACTCATTTCGATTTTTATTATTTTTCTTTCAGTGGTGCTTTGCATGTTCCAAGTAGCTGTAACATTGTTTAATTGCTTTTTTTTTTACCTTTTTTGGACCATCAGTGTGTTTTTTCCTTACTCTTGTCGTTGAATAGAAATAAACGCGTTTGATTGAGCTTTTATCGTTAATGTCACTTACTGTACGCATATACGAGCTTTCGGAGCATAAGAAAAGGGGGAGGAGAAAGGGCGACGTGGTACATGGTCGAGAAAGTTTGCACCGCCGTTTGTTTGCGCGAAATCAGACGATGCTAATTCTTGGTGAAATATTGACTCGCTATTTTGGTTTCTGGCTCGCAAATATTGACTCGGGAGCTTTTACTCGTTTTACTCTGGTGGCGGATGAAACACCCCTTTTCAAGCCAATGCTCACCGTGACCTAAAATTTACACCATTTGTTTTCTTACTTGATTTTTATTTCATCTGCAACATATGTTAAAATCTTTAATTGCAATAATAATTACGTGTTTGAAAAAAAATGAGCGCCCCAATAGTCCCAATTTTTTAAAACTACACCTACCATCTCCTACTTTAGATTTACGTGAGAACACCCATCCCACATCGCAACAATTGTTCCAGCATATTGAATTCGCTATCGTATCGATCCATCTATCTTTAAAGTTGTCAATTTTATAAAATATGTGTGTACATCCACAAAGCACTTATTCAATCTCGAGAGCAGCGCAAGTTATATATATTTACACGCTCGGCCGGGATTTTTCGCTCTTTCAGGAGGCGAGAGCAGCAATCGAATAAGTTCGAACTGAGGTTGCGTACGACTCATCCGGAGGGTGTTATCGCCTGGATCGGACGGGGCAAACTGGAACACATGATGCTGTCGCTGCACGAGGGCTACGTCGTCATGTTCTATCGCGGCAGGCGCGAGGAATTCACCATCAAGAGCAAGGTAGGCTTACTGTATGTTTATTTGTTCCTCTCGCGACCACAGACTTTCGACGACGAAAAAGTACATCTTTCAAAATTTTACACACTTTTCACACTTAGTTGATAAAAATACGATTAACAACGAGTATTTCTCTTGTATTTGACGCAAGCCAATGAATTTGGAAGTATTTGTTCGTCCCCACTGTTGCTAAGTGTAACTCTGGGATTCCCCTTTTTTCCAAAAACCGTACAACTGTTAAGAGAACAAAAAAAAAAAAAAAAAAAAAAAAAAAAAAAACCACAGGAACGCGTCGACGACGGCTTCTTCCACCGCATCCGCGCGATCCGGCGCAAGCACTCGAGCATCCTCCAAATAGACGAGCAGCCGGCGATAAAGCTCGCGAGCGACACCGGGCCCCTGACGACGAACGGCAAGCTCTTCGTCGGCGGTAGACCGGGACACTGGGGCATTAGAGCTTGCGTGAGGGACTTTGTCGTGGACCGGCGCAGGCTCCACCTGTCCAGGCGCAAGATCGAGCTCTGCCACGAGAACGACGTCTGATTGCGATGACGGCGCGCTCCGTGCACTCTACAGGGACGTGAGTGATCGTTAAGACTATGGAGAACCTTATCTTTTTTTTTTTGTTTTTTTTTTTTTTTTTTTGTTTGGACAAGGGTACTTTGACGTTGTCCGTGGGGATTGCGTCTCGAGGAGACGAAACGATGATTGAGAATATAAGTGGAAAAAGGTTGAGGGTTTTTAAATCACGTCTCGTAAAGAGAGCGTCAAAGTTGCCCCGAACTCAATTTTCCGAAACGCAATACAGAAAGTCCTGGTCGAACGGTACAAGCTTCATCGTCGGCAGACAACCGCCTCTTGGTTAATTTGTTCGAAACTCGATGACGGAGCGAAAATTTTAATACGATATTACTTTGAGAGTTACTTCAACTCCTAACTAGATGATATATATATACACGTATACATAGGTACTTGTAAAAGTGTAATAAAGAACGCTAATTAAAAATTGAAGGAAGAAAAAAAAAATTACCATAGTGAACGCCAGTTACGATGAAGCTGGCGAAAAAAAGTAAAAGTTCAAGTGCTACGTTCTCATCGAAGGACAATAATATATTTTTAAGTAAATCGAGAAAGAAAAAAGAACGAAATCCGCGATTGAAGCGGTATATAAATATATACATATATAAAAATATAAATATATAAATAAATCGAGTACGTGAATGTATTCACGAATTTATTCGGTATACGTAAGTCTGCAGCGAGCTCTGAGTGAGTGTGAAAATAGAGAAACGAGGGAGAAAAAATTGTATATCTTTTTCCAACAGCGACGATGAAAGGAAAACGAAATTTGTTTACTGCTGTAAGGAAAATGTTGCAAATGTTGACTAAATAAAAAAAAAAATTATAATAATATTTGAATGTTGAAGTTTTAACTCTATTAACAGAGAAATAGTCGTATTGATTGCGTTTCCTGTTAGTGTTGACATTTTATGAAATAATGTATAGTCGTACTTGCACTCACTGAAAAAACAAAAAAATGAAACAGCTTCATGTATAAATATATTATTGTTTAAAAATTTCTTAAAAAAAAAAAGAGAGACCAATAATAAAAATAAAAAAAATCATCACTCTCTATTACCCAACTAATGAAAATGAATATGATAAAAAATGCACTTGTTCACAGACTTAATATATTATATGATAGCAGTAAATAAATATCGTTTGAAATAACTTTCTTTTTTTTTATCATGAAATTCAAGAGCGTGTGAATGACAATTTTACAACTTTAGATGTACGAATCGTTTGACTTTAGACGTATAATCTATACATATTATCCAATTGTAAGGATAATCCCCTGAGCTGCCGACGCACCTATAAGATAAAACCTTATCATACACACACGCGACGCTAAGACTGATTGTAGAGGAGATAAAAAAAAAAAGTTGTAGTTATTTCGAGAAGTAAAACAAAATAATCGCAAAAATTCATCGGTGTTATGTTTGAGTGTTTTAAGGTAGAGAAAGAGATATTTGACGTTGTGCATATAGTGTATTTCCCGATAGACCGTGTAAATGTACAATAGAGACGTGAAGCGTGCGATGATACGTATTTTAAGAATTAGTTAAAAAAGCTATTGAATATGCAAAGAAAGGCGAGAATAAGCCATTGTTTTTCATGTAAATGGATTTTTATAAAACGAATAAAAATGACATACAATACTCGACAAAAGTGTATATTATTGTATTTCGTTCTCATTCGTGAATGTATAGCCAAGGCTTTTTGTAAACTTCCGAACAAAGTGTCCATACATAGAGTTTTTGACAAACAAATGCATTAATTATCGCCGTGCTGTTAAAAAAAAATCCCAAGAGGTATACACAAATATACACAAATGCAAACGTGAAATAAAAAATTTGTCGTGCACTGTACCGATGTACCACATTCCGTGAAATGCTTGTTGTGAAACGCTCCATGTAGTACCGCCTGTTAAAACTCGTGAGATTGTACGAGAAGTTTCAATATAAGGTCTTAAAATGACATGATGTTCTAAAATTTCCTATTTGCGTTGATTGCGGGTGGAAAATGTTTCTACCACACATTAATTGCGAAGTTTGAAAAATGACATATCACACTTTAATCACGCAATACATAGAGAATTTCGATCCATTTTTCATTGAATTGTACCTCCTGTACCTGCGAGCATTTCCTCCTTTTTAACAAATTTTCAAATTAATGCTTACATATCATGAAAACGTTATACTTCCATTTTTAAGAAAAACACTTGTTAGAGAAGTCATACGGTGATCGACTGGTCCTTTTGCCAGTTGATGATTTTTAACGAATAATTGAAAACGAAACGCATTTGAAACCTCTTGTACAAAAAAAATGTTAATGTAGAAAAAAAAAAAAGAAAAAAGAAAAATACTAACCGATGTTCTACGAAATAGAAATGCAATATGAAAAAAAAATCTATATGTATAAAACTTACGCATAGACTGAGTTTTGAAATGATGGCATGTTTCCTGAAACTGTAAATACATGTACCTACGTTTAAGTTGATATAAATATATAAGAAAATGCTTTGTTTTAATCGATCGCGTCTTTACGCGAAAAAGGAAAAATAGAAGGATTATTAATTACGTGTAAAAAATCATATAAATATACCATACTCATTCGACCTAATTCTGCTTGTGGCGAGCAATAAGTAAAATCATCGTTGGCTACTAATTAACAAATGAGAATTTTTAATTTCTTGATTTCCAGAGTGAACAAAAAAAAATCTAATTACCATGTAATCGCTGGCCTACTGTAGCGTGAACAAAAATTATATGCATACACATATAATAAAAGAGATTAATGAGAGACAAATAGATTATTGTTATAGGACAGAAAAGAATATTTATAAACATGTAAGTGCATTGTACAGTAACTTATGACGAGTGCAAAGCGATTTTGATATGCGTGCGCGGTACACTTAAAACCTGCTGTATTTTAATAATATTATTATGATTGCGTTATTTGTATTTTTTTTTATTAGAATTAGCCCAATAAGGATAAGTTTAATTTAATTATTTTTGATTTTTGAAGAGAATTTTTTTGGTTTATAAATTTGCATTGGATAACAATAAATAAAAAGAAGTCACTCGAATCAGAAAAAGAAAAAAAGTTAAAGTCACATATCAAAAATGTTGAAACATCATATCATATCATTTACAACTGCGACAAAAAATACATATCCGTTTTAAATCTATCAATTATGTTTCATTATTGATAAGAAACAATTATATAAAAATTTTTTACCATTCAAGAGTCGATGCCAGCTGTGTTGAATGTAGACACACTTCATTGTTGGACCAAAAGGTTTTTTAATTTCCAAACGAAGAAAAAAAAAGCAAGCAAATATCGTAGTGTTACTTAGGTATTGTTACTTACTTGAGCCTCAACAAATATCTGATAAACTGAAAAAAGCAATCTACGAATCTCCCGTTTCCCATCACTGCCGAAATTTTGAATTTACTGAAAAACGAAATGATAAAAAAAATGCTCTCCGTGCACGTACAAACTCGATCGATTCAATCAATCTACAAAAATGGCATTTCTAAAAATATATACACCGACTACTGATGTCTATTGACACTTTTGTTATCTTTATTTATATGCGTAAATTGTAATGTATTATAAGTTTGTTTATACTCGATTTTAGATTTATTTGCAGTTGTGCAATATTTTGAAAACAAAGTGTAAAACTGTCAAAGATTTTTTTACTTTGATACATATATATATATATACACGTATATAAATGCGGATGTGTGGCTCNAAAAAAAAAAAAAAAAAAAAAAAAAAAAACTTTCAGCACCCAGAAATTGTTAACCAGCTTAAAAGAAAAAGGAAAAGTGAATGATGAAACAAGTCGACAACTTCCTAAGCGATAACTCCGAGCTATCCTGTCCAAAGATAAGTGGTTTTTGAAAATTCCAAGGGCCAGACTTTAATTTCGTACCGATAGCATGTCTTCGATGATGATGAAATGAGCTATTGCGTCACTAAACATGCTCGTTGTAAAGTAATTGTATATACATATGAAATACAAATTATATGCATCTTGAAAAAAAAAAAAATGGATTTCTTCATTTACATTTTTTTAAAAATAATAATTCCCGTTGACAACACCAAAATGGATCGACAAGGCAAGAGAAAAACAAAAAAACATGACAATCAACGTTTTATAGAAACATTTATTCTTACGAGCTACGTGCTTTATCACATTGTTCATCTTCTCACTCAATCGACAAGTGCACATCATCCGCGACACTATTTACAAAAAATTTACCTAATCCACCGCACATTTTATTATTATTGTTATTCTACAAGTACAATCAACGTCGATCAGACCAACCACTCAAGTTCTGTTGACACATAAAAATTGACATTTACACCTACCATACACGGTACAAGAGACGATTATTTAAAAAAAATATACATCATCCTCGATCGTCCTGTTGTAAAACTCCCGCTTATACTACAGGACCTCCGCGTTTCCCAAAGAAAGTGTACGACGACGACTCGAAAGTACTCAGAGGACATGAAAATCCTCAGTGTCCGTTCCGATTCGCGCTCCGGGCGGGATGTGAAAAAAAAACAGCCGATGCTAGTGAGCTTTTGGAATTTCACTGGACATCTGCTCGAGCTTCTGCCGGAACTCCCGCCTGATCTCCTCGATCGGCCTGATGAGGAATATCGGCACGTTGTCGTCCCTCCTCTGACGGAAAAACAAAACTCGTGAGTCTCTCGAACAAAAACAAAAAAAAAATAACTGCACTCGCAAGCTCAAATGAAAAAAAAGCTCCCCACCTGAAACAAGCACTCGCCCTCGAAGTCGACGAGCTTGTGCTTGCGGGCCCTGAGCAGCAGGCCGACGAGCTTGTCGTTTATGTGGACGTAGATGTTGAAGAGGTCGCCGAAGGTGATGCCCATGATGTCCGGCTGGTCGCGGCAGGGCGTGCCGTTCTGGTGGATGACGTCGCACAGTTCGATCATCTCCTTAAAGACGTGAGCCGAGGCCTTGCGACCGCGAATGTCCGACAACGAGCCCGCCGCTGGCCTGTACATAAACGACAGTTGCTTGTTTTTCTTTTTCTTTTTTTTTTTGTCATTTTTTTTTTTTAGATATAATTTTCAATGGATGGGCTCTCACCGTCCGTACTCCTCTTTCGAAAAGGTCGGCTTCGGGAGGTTCAGCCCCGACGAGAAGGGGTTTTTGCTCTGGCTGCTGATGTGCTTGGCCGCGTGCTGATCGAACATGGCGACTTTGTCACCGAGCGACTCCTGCAATTGGAAGAAAACGTAAAATTATTACTCCAACTTTTTCCCAAAAAAATAAAAATCAAAGCCCCCCCCCCCTTTGGTTCCGACGCGAGCTTACACGAGTCTCGGAGTGTCAAGTTCGAGTGGTGTGGTGGTCGACCGTGCGGTGTCTCGCGAGCTTAGCTACTGGTCGGGTCGTGCTTGCCGAGACACCACCGGGGCTTCGTAATCCCGAGCCCGAGACTCGTGTATATCTGTACGCTAAATCAAATCGCGCTAAAGATGCTCGATTTGCTAACACGTGCGCTGCTATATCTAACTCTCTGGCACTATTTCCTCCCAATTGGGACGTGCGGAATATTTTCAACGGAGGGTGAGCTTGCGGAAGGGGCTGGTTTTTTTTCCTTTTTTTTTTTGGAAGTATATATAAGCCTGTGTGAGCTTTTTTATTGAAATCGAAATCTTTATGGGGAAGAAGTAACCATATTTCGATAGATTTATGCTTGATCTGATGATTTTTCAAACTATTGCGTAACGAGGTGTACTTGTGTGAACGTGTTTCCTGTGGTCTACTTTTTACTGCGCTCTAAAGGGATTATATGAAGAAAAGAAAAAAAAAAAAAAAAAAAAGCATCATCCGACTCGACCTCGTTACCAGAGGTCAATCAATTACAATAACGTCATTTTCGTGAAAACTGGCCAACACGCGCACCACTCGACGTGTACATACGACACACACGCGCTATAAAATTAATGACCGGATATCGGAGATGATTTCGTCACGTCGTTATACACCTTCGTACCGTTGGATCGCGCGTGAATTTTTCGTGCCAAAAATTCGCCGACTTATGTAATCGGCTTTTTTTGCGCACTCCACTGCGCTTGTATACGTACACACTATTTATAATGAATGAAGTTGAATGTGACTGCATGTACATCAAGTTGAAACTGAAAAATCCATACCGAACGATTATCAACCGGTTCACTGGGAATGGCACCGTACCACCGTATATTTACTTTTTAATGAAACAACCCTTGTGCTACTGGTAAAAATTGTTCGATTGTTTCGTTAGGTTTGGCGCGCACCGAATACAACTACTTTGGTGATACACATATAATTATAATCGGCGTATGTATAGGTACGTGTGTGCACTAATGCTTCTTGCGAAAGTTCCCGTATCGGCTCATTAGCTCGGCCGTTCTCGACATACCTGTATACGTGCATATGTGTGCATAGGTATACATATGTTATCGTGTTCGTATAAGTATGCATCGAAACATGTCAAAAGCGCAAACTCGTCCAAACGATGACGAATAGCCGGCCGAGACGTGACGGAGAGTTGGACGTTAACCAGAACGAGAGAGAGAGAGAGAGAGCTTGCGACCGTGGCCCTGGCCATAAGTGCCATAAATATGGCAGCCTGTCAAGCTGCCGGCGCGCCTCACGTCTCCGACACGTGATCGTCTGTACGCGAGTATACTCCTCGGGACGAGACAAAGAATGCGAGAGCTTTTTCGAGCTTTTTAACTCTACCGGTACTTTGGCTTCTCCCACTCATCCTCGTCAAATTTTGACAGTGATTTTTGTGTTTATTCTCGTTTCGAGGAAAATCTCTCTCTCCTCTCTCTCGAGCCACTCGGTCCGACTATTGTGGTTGGGTACGTTTTGCGCGCACATTCCGGACAGCCTTTCTATTGCTTTTGCCGCTAATTTTGCGAAAAAGAATTTCTGTACTCTGTGGCGTGACCGGAAATTCCACGTTTTTCGATTACCGATGAAGATAACTCCGAGCTATCCTGTCCAAAGATAAGTGGTTTTTGAAAATTCCAAGGGCCAGACTTTAATTTCGTACCGATGGGGTTGAATCTTTCGAGCTTGCAAGTTTGGAGGGGAGTACCGATATTGCAACGCTACAATGCCAAACGGATTCACCAGTGGAATAAAGTCCTTGAAAACTTGGAGTAAACAAAGTATGGAATGAACAAAATCGGGGTGTTTGAAACTCATACGTTTTAATACTCACGAGTAGTAGGGACGACATTTCTTCGACGTATATGGGTATATATCCAACCTCGTTTCACAAGCACAACCAAACGAGTGTACACGAGTAAAAAAAAAAAAAAGTACAAGAGCAACGGATGAAATCTTCTTTAGAAAAAACTCCACCTACGCAGTCCTTTCGATAAAAAATTCAACACGAACTGAACGGCTGTATGTAAAATCTGTGCACTCAACTGCCGCGAAGCACTTTGGCCACCCTATAGAGCTTACAGCCTCGTCGGCGCGCGAGCCGTGAATAAACGGCTTCTGGAGCGCCACTCGGTCTTTTTATACGAGCAATAACCATCGATAGCGCTCGTCCCCCCCCCCCCCCACCGTTTTCGCCACTCGGCGGGTCGTCCACCGTCGCGTTCCTCGAGCGCCGCTTTTCGGCTTTTCGAGCCAATATTTCGGAGCCTCGCTTGCCAAACCGGAGACACCCCCCCCTGCATATTTGTAAAAGACGCGCAAAGCTCCCCGAGCGGATGTGTCCGTTATTCATCGGCTCATGAATCACTTTTTATGGTCTCTTTCGTTGCGCGGAAGATCCTCGAGTCGAGCTTCCGTGCCACGTAGCGAAAAGCCCATCCATGAGGCCACCATGGCACATCGGGCCGCGGCCTCAGCTCGTCGAGATAAATCGGCCGGAACAAAGTGCTCGGCCCCGAAGAGGTTGCCGGGAAGAAGAGGATCGCGCGCTCTTGGGCGAGGGGCTAATTTTACGTGCCCATTATGATTCGAGCCCCGAGGAATCCCAGCACTGGTGTGTTACGCGTCTCGTGCGCCGTAAATATAGACTCACGCCCCCCTCCCCCTCCCCCTCTTGACATTGGGGGATTTTTTGTTTACGTTTGGGTGATCTCCGGGGATCATCGTGTTGTTGGTGTAGGTCTCGGTTTCGCGATGGAGTCTTGAGAAAACAAAATAGTTGTAGTCATTGTACATCCTTTTGAAACGGTGGAAAAACAATTGAGGTGAATTCTAAAAAAAATGAAAAAAAATAAAAAATTCATCTCATGTGCAAATGTACCCACCACGTGGTCTTTTCCCAACAACGTCTTGAACCCTCTTTTTCCATACGCTGGTCAACTCAACACCATACACTCTCACTCTACATCATCCCTATGCGGTGTACACATTGTTTTGTCAGTGATGAATCGCTTATAAATTTTGAGTTTATTTTTTTATCAAAAATACTGATGACTTTTTTTTTCCTACGTCGGCTCTTTGTCTATTATTTGGATTGATAAAAAAACGTCCATGCTTGGGGCTTTAGAAAATCCAGATTTGTTAAGTGGCTCACGCATGTAAATAGATAGTGTGGTTGATAGTGCACTGCAAACGATAAAAAATTATTGCTAAATGTGAAAAGCTTGTGTGTACGCCCGTAGGTGTACATACTTACAACTGTGTGCAAGTCGTGCAAACTAAAAAATTCTCTTTTGTCGAGCAGACGTACGCGACAATGCGATAACGATGATTAATTTTTTAACGAGTTCTCAGGTATAGGTAATCGCTGCAAATAAACGGGTAGAAATAATAAAAAACCATTATGTGTATTCTCGTGAGTGTGAAAAAAAAAAAAAAAAAAAAACTTTCTTTGTTATTTATTAAATATACGAGAAATCGATGATGGAAAAAAAGTCGTCATGAAAGCTATTTCACTTTGAAATTACGCAAAATTAAGTAGTACTTTTTTGTAAAATGTCCCACGCATGTGGCAACTAACCCAATATCGGAAAGCTTATTCGTCAGTTTGGACCCTTCACCGGTAAAAATCTCTGCCATAATTTTCACACGCACCCCTTTCCGAGCAAATACGTTTGTACACCGGAAAAAGCTCAGCTCGTGCTCTCGGGAAAAATCGAGCGCAATCCGGTTTATCGGGCTCATTATGCGGACAACACTCAAAGTTGTTGGCAAAAGCCGAGCCTCCGATTTTCAAGAAAAACACGCTTTCCTCTTGGCTATATGTACACACACTCGTGATGTAACACGTACCTACACTACAGGTTCAATCGAGAGATTTAAGAGCCACGCACGTGCGCTAGCGTCCCGATCGGTGATAATAATTTTCGCACGCGCGTCATCGCCTCGGCCAGCTTCTTGGTCCAAAAGACCCATTAGCCCGCTGTTTTGATCTTCCTTATGCACACCCCTCTGCTCTATGAATAAAATCACGAACAACAAGTTTTCGAGCTTTTAACAATTATAATTAGAACGGGACTTTTGAGTAATGATCAACGATATTGGAAAATTGAACAATCATACTGGATACAAACGAGAGAGAGAGGGAGAGAAAGCTTGTGCGCGAAAGTAGTTCTAAAAATAGGAACGCACATACATACATGTGCCTAGAGAGTCAAACTCCTCCTCGAGGTTCATTAAATCCTATAATTGAATCGCGCGTCTCTGCAAAGGTATGCGCAGCAAATTAGATGCGCCGCCGCAAGCTGCCGTGCTTGCGTAAAACGCGCGCGTTACAGTTTATTTGCACTCGTTTCCAACCGGAACGAAGCTCGGGAAGTACGTCAGAGGGTGGGTATGCGTACAAATATCGTTAAAAATCAATATTTTCGATCGAAGGCAATAATATATATAAGCCAAGCCAAAAATACCGAATTTTGGTATTTAATGCTCGAGGCGTCGCGTATGGGCGTAAACAAACGTAGCGCGAAATATACAACCGAGGACTGTCAACGCGAGGAATCGCAAATATATATATATACACCTGCACGTGTTTGTTGTTTATGCGCGAAGCTTTAACGCTGATAGATGTATGTATATGCTCATCGTTTATAGTGACGCGCGCAAAAGACAAAGCGCTTACTCATCGGCCCGTAATTTGTCACTTTGAGATCCGGAGGAGAGGGAGGGTATGCGCAAAGCTCGCCGTAAAAGGCGAGCGATTCGAAAAAAGCTCCGGAAGCGTGTTGGAGCGCTGAGGCGGGCGAACGGAATTAGACCCGCGGGGAAGAAATGAATGAACGGCGACGTCATCGAGGGGGGAGCTTGCAAGCTCCCGTTATAATGCGGGCTGTGGGATTTTTTCGAGCGGCAGCGTGGAATGAGGTTTTTACGAATTACTTGTTGGAATTTTTCTCTCTTCTGCTTCTTTCGAGCTTTTATGATGAGAGATTATTGTCGGTTGGAAAAGTCGGGGGGTGCAAACAAAAAGTCGAAAACGAGTTCGAGCACGTGGATGATGCAAATAATGGCAACGTAATGTTTTGTACATCTTGCTTTTCATTGAGAAAACTCTCATTAGTCTCGTGGCTTACTCGAGATGTGTTCGTCAATTTACTTGATAGACTTGCTTTTTTAACTTGGTTTTTAACAGCTGTCTGGTGATGAATAATACTGTGCTTGTTTTACCTCGTCACTTTGATGTAGGATATCCTGTAACTTTGCGTAAAAAATGGTTAAGACTGAATTTGATATCTTTGAAATAGCGTTTTTTTTTTTTGGTAAATAACTCAATGATGTTTAGACAGATTGCATTTTACTTCGTGCACAATTGTTAAGTAATGTAAGAATAAATTTTTCATCTTTCTTTGTTTACGTTAACCGTACGTCAAAAACACCAATATTATAAATGCTTTACTTTCTTTGTGTATAAGGGTAAGTACACATATTCTTGTGCACTTGTAGGAAACAGTGGAAATATTTCCACAGAACTATAACTATATATGCATTCAATACATAGATAACCGGTTGATTATAAAATTAATAATTCGGTCGGTTCGGCCGTTCTACTAGTTCCACTCAGTTGTACGGCGTTAGATGAGCATTTAAAACAGAAATCGACGTAGGTACCCTTGCTTAATAGTTCAAATTTCGGGAAAGGAGCAGTAGTACAATGAGACTCACGATCGTCACGGCTCATACCTTTTTTTTTTTTTTTTTTTTTTTTTTTTTTTTTGTTGAAATCCATCAGTCGTGTGTTATTTGCTATACATAGTTGATTGTTCCAGAACGTGTACAAGATCGGCAGTATCGGTACTGTACCGGTTGACCAAGTAAAGACCGGTATCTACACTATAGGTGGACATGGTGTTTGACCTTCACCCCTACTTCTGCATCGCATTTTCTTTCATATTTTGAAGTCGAATATCAACCGTTTTTATATACTTACTACCTATTAATTTCCTAAACAAAAACGATGCTTTGTGAATCACTTTAACATTAAGGTACCTGTAGATATATGCTTCATAAAAATAATAGTATCCCATTTTCTTAGACTTGGGATGAAAAACACTGATGTTTAAAAATGAAACAACAAAGGGACAATTTACCGAGCAAATCTCAGCTTTGACGGAAGCTTGCAATTATTTCCGTGTCCACCCACCCATTGGAGCAAGTATAAAAAATAAAAAATAAGACTCCTATTGTGTGACCTCGGCTGTCGTCAAACGTCGGTTCGGTGCGTCGTCAGGTTGTCGTCGTGTTTAATGTTTCAAGATTTTTTTTTTTTTTTTTCTTTAACAAGGTAAACAAACGAGCGACGGATGCCAAGGGTTTTACCTCTTTAACGTATACGTATAGATCGCTTGGCAGTTTTGTGTGGTGACGAAGATTTCGCACGTCAAGGTATTGCCAGTGAATTTTCATTCAAAGATTTGGTATTTTTTTTATCTGTGTAAATATTTAAATACTTTTCAAAATAATACCATAAATTATGTCAATATTTTAAGCAAAAAAATGTTCAAAGACTTTTAATTTTCGTTTACGTTTTCAAATTGTAAAGATACATTTGTTAAACGATTGCTCGGTGTAAAGTGATAATATTCGTCTAATTACTTAATTTTCCTTGCGCTCGAATGTATTGCCTTTAAAATAATATTCACACGCAAAATAATGCCAACTCTGTGTAAAACAAGTAAACAATCCGTCTAGATTGATCTGGCTAATCCTATTCTGAAGCGTAAATTTGAAAAAATCTAATTTGCAATTTACCATCTCGCGTATTGCCGCATTTTTTTTTTTTTCTCATTAAAAAATTGCATTTGTCTACGATAAAATTAATTTTGGCATTTTAAAACATTTATTCGGCAATAATTCATCCAACTTAAAAAAATCTACTCAACGGAGCATCCATTTTTGTTTGCAGAAGTTATTTATACCGTCAAATACATAAGCCTTTAAAAAAAAAAACAAAAAAAAACAAATAATACGTATACAAAAGTTAATCTTTTTTTAGAGTGGATCGAGAATATTAATCATTTGTTTTACCCTGTCAACGGGCGCTTCAGGCCATCAATTTTCATGAGTTGATGTATTTTTTCCATCTCGTGCCAAATGTTTAATTAACAATTAAGGCTCCCATGCATTCATTTGATAAACAAGTATGATTTTTAAAAAACAATGGGTTGTACTTTTGTTTAACAAGAAAACAACTGACCCGCAAACCACGTACAATTAACACGTGGATTTAAAAGTTCATTTAAAAATAGTGTAGCAACAATACCAAACATATAAGCTGCCCTTGGAATTTATGGCATCAGCGTAAGTCAACAGATCGAAAATCTCCCTCAAAATTCGCAGTGACAGCACCAGTAAAAGGCACAAAACGGCCACGATCTTACTCTCTCGATTTAGCCATCGGCGCAATATTACCGTGGAGCTCGCTCGCCAAAATTCCGTACGTGCGTATGCACTCCCCTTTTCCCTCTCTCTCTCTCTCTCTCTCTCTCTCTCTCTCTCTCTCTACATGTTTGCTCCGTGCTCTTGTCAACGCAACGACAAGTGTTGTTCACTCGCAAGCTAGCTCTTGTCTACTAACTTTAGAAAAAAAAAACTATTTTTCAATAACCAAACAAGAATTTTAATTTTAAGCAACATTTTTGTTTGTACAGACATATGAAGTATTGGCGGATACTTGAGTTACCGCACGCGCCCGTCGAAGCTTCGACCACCGGAGAACTGACAGATATATCTATTTTCAGCCGAGCGATGACTAAGAATAAAGACAGAAAGAGAATTTCTCTCGGCACGAGACTCTCCTGGTGCAACTCGTGTTGCGAGCAACCAACTTGCGAACGAAGCTTTAGAACTGCGGTTACGATTTTTTGTACAACTGCGTAGTGATTTTTTTTCCCCTACATAAATTGAATTTTTTAATGATATTTAATTACATTGAAGAGTTAAAAACTTTACTTTTCACGTAGGGTGTGAACGATTTTTGAGGAAAATTCAAAGATTGTGGTTTTGACAGTTTGCGTAAAGTTAAACATTTCTGTTATTATTGTTACTAAAAGATATTTTTTTATTATTATTATTATTAAAGAACTCAATCACTGAACAACTATTTGACACTGTTCAAACTTTCTTTTTTAATAATCCCTATTTGAAAAATGTTCAATGTTATGTATTTACTCAAACAAACGTAAGGTGACATTGAAAAATGTCCCCTTGGCCAGCCAAAGCAATGAATCATCTACGCGGGATTTTCTCACGATCCGTCATCTCAACGGACACACGCGACCGTCTTTTTCATTCCATTTTGAGCTGGTGATGCTAATAAATTTCATGAATTAAAAAATGCAAAATTAACCATTCATAAATTGTCTTTGCACCATAAATAACATAATCAATGACATTAGTTGCGCAAATCATTGCGTCAGTCAATTTATTCTATACTCATGATTGTGTGGACAAAAGCTAAAACATATAACTATGCAATTAATCAACAAACATTTGACAATTGACTTTGTGAATATATTTTCCTCAGAGAATCATAAAATCAGTAGAGTTGGATTTTTATACCAAAACGCTTTTTGCAATCAATCATTGTAAACGAGTAAAAGTTAAAAGTAGTTGCACTATTTAAAGACAAGAAGAAAAAAAAGTGGCACCAAACAACATTTTAATGGCTCATCATTTCTCCGTTTACTGTCAACATACAGGTTCAAAGATCTCTTTCCTCCTTCATCCCCACTATTGGGAGAATCGCAGGTCATGACGAAGTTCAAAGATTTAAACCTTAAACCGATTAAAGCTCAAATCCATTTTTCTACGATCCAAACCATTTCGTACCAATACTTTGAGATAAGGTGCTACTATCACGAGACGAAAATTTACTGATCGCGAGCTTGCAATCACTGGCTAAAAGAGTGTCTGTTTATAAGAAAAAAAAAAAAAAAAAAAAAAACTTTCAGCACCCAGAAATTGTTAACCAGCTTAAAAGAAAAAGGAAAAGTGAATGATGAAACAAGTCGACAACTTCCTAAGCCTTCCGCAGAAAAAAAAAAGCTATTGGATGTAATTAAAATTCAAATTTGAGCGCGAAAGCTCACGGTGAACCCGCAACTGCACCCCCCACCCCACACTGCTGGCCGTGTCTCTTACCCTACACACCCATAGAGCCAAGAGAGGAAGCTCGGCTGACTGCATCAGCGCAGGCGCATTTCCGGCAGCCCTCGGCGAAGCAAGAAAGAAAGAGAGCTTTCGCACCGCGTATCCCATGCACGTACACAAGCAGGAGACCGAGAGCCGTGAGAGAAGGCAAAACAGGCCGGCGATGCCGCGAACGAAGAGAGAAAACGAGAGCGGCGGAGAACAGGTGCAGATGGAAACGGCTGTCGGCGCTGTCCACCCGGCACAGGTGTAACGTACCCCACGGCGCGGACCGTGCAAGCTCTCCAGCTCACCAAAGCCCCCCTTTTTTCCTGTGCTTTTCTCTCTCTCTCTCTCTGTCTACGCTACATTCCTCCAGCTGGTGGTGCACGCAATTGTTGGGCAGTGACAGTACTCGGTGTCGTCGCAAGCTCTCGGCTCCAAGGTGTCCCATTGTACCTGTACCCGCTGCACCGGTGAGTTGTGCTATATTAACAATAATTTTCCACCTACAAGCGCACCCATTGGGGCTTGCAAACGAAAAAAAGTAAGCTCACGTAGCCACGTAGCGGAGGAAAGAGGGGGTGGGGGGTCGTTGGTCGCCGGCCGCTATCGATCTCCGGCCGGGCTCTGTACGCGCGCTCTCTCTCTCTCTCTGCTTCTGTCGCGTATATGGGCGCTTTAAACCCGCGCTTGTTTTTTTCGCGGATGTATCGGGTGAGCTTTTCACTGGAGGGCTTGTTATCGCTTGACTGAGAATTTTTGCAATTGTCCAAGGCTTGTGTAGTTGTGTACATGTGCATACCCAAAAGGTTTACTTGCATTTTTGGCTCTCGAGGTGGGGTACGCGTCGAGGGGTTGCGAGGGGGGGAGGGGCTGGGAGCTTTCGCCAGTCGAAAGGGGTTAGGTGGATCGATCCTCTCCTCCGCCGCGCCGCGCAGTGTACGTATACTTGTGCATAAGGTACATACATGTATACCTGTGTGATTTTATATGTGCACCGAGAGAGGGAGAAATCAGCCATTGCACGGAACACGAACGAGAAAAAGGGGGACGTCTGTGTCTATAGGAGCCGTTTTTTTTTTTTTTTTTTTTTTTTGCGTACCCACTGCCTATTTTTATTGTTTTGTTTTTTTTATCGTTTTATAAACATTTTTTAATACACCTTGTCTTTACCGGCACTATTAAATTCTATAAATACGTGGCACTCGTTTCTAGTTCATCTACGTTGCCAATGAAGGCCTGCACAATTCACTGATTCCGCGAGTAGGAGTTGGATTACATTACCGTATTATTGCACCACGGAGAGGTAACTCGGGGTCAAAAAAAAAAAAAAAAAATGTGAAATTTAGGGTAAGGCACTGGCCGAGGGGTCGCGGTGGGTCAGGAATGAATGTATAGAAGCTTTCCAGTACACGTACTACCCTTAGACTTTTTTGTTTTTGTCTATGTACGTGTGCGCACGAGAGTTGTTCTAAAAATACTCTGGAGCTTTATCGCGTCACGACTTTTATGTAAATACTTCTTTTTATTTGTTAAATCATGTTTTCGACGCAAGGGTTACTTTGAAAATATTAAAATATGATATGCAATGAGTGTACGATACAGTACACGGGCGATATTACTGTTGCCACCCTGTGAATGCATACGGACGCACAGACAAAGACGACAGTATACGTATGTAAGTCGAACGAGAACCAACCAAACTGATTTTTTTTTTTTTTTTATAACTCACACGTTGTAATAAGTTTACCGGAGTGTTCCTTCATTAGCACGTTGCCATATGCCTTACTTTTATCGGGATTCCCCGTTTTCTCCACAAGTTATTGTGTGTACGATACCAATCGATGCAGTGATCCCAAGCATGCATTGAAAATTCCGAAAAATTAATATACAGATAAAGAATTCGTATAGACAGCAAAGTAATGGTGTAAAAGTAAAACACTTTTTTTCCGATGTCAGAAAAAATAACATCGAAGCATGTATAAGCTATACCGACTCGTACAGTTCGGCTCAGCCGGTTTAATAAAAGTGCATTGACCCTTGCCGAGAAAAATGCTCGGTTCTACTTGACGTCCAAAGTGATTGCTCGCTTGACTCGAGGAGAAAATTTTTTTTCATGAAATTATACAACGAATTCAAATCGCACTTAATTTTTACACATAAGCACATTTCGTGCTCATTATACCGATCCATGCTCGTCTCGTACAGGTGTCACATAAAAGTTGAGGGTAACCAGAGTCCGGAGAGCAAGAGGCCCCATCAGTAGCCCATCAAGATGGGCAAAGAGAAGATCCACATAAACATCGTGGTGATCGGCCACGTCGACTCGGGCAAGTCGACGACCACGGGCCACCTCATCTACAAATGCGGCGGCATCGACAAGCGCACCATCGAGAAGTTCGAGAAGGAGGCCCAGGAGATGGGCAAGGGCAGCTTCAAGTACGCCTGGGTCCTGGACAAGCTGAAGGCGGAGCGCGAGCGCGGCATCACCATCGACATTGCCCTGTGGAAGTTCGAGACCGCCAAGTACTACGTGACCATCATCGACGCGCCCGGGCACAGGGACTTTATCAAGAACATGATCACCGGCACGAGCCAAGCCGACTGCGCCGTTTTGATCGTGGCCGCTGGAATCGGTTAGCCCATCCACGTATTTTTATTTCAATTAAGCGTCAATCACTCGAGTCGTGGTTAAAATAAAACGCGCTCCACCACAGGTGAATTCGAGGCCGGCATATCAAAGAACGGCCAAACCCGCGAGCACGCCCTGCTCGCGTTCACCCTCGGGGTGAAGCAGCTTATAGTCGGGGTTAACAAGATGGACATGACCGAGCCCCCGTACTCCGAGGCTCGCTTCGAGGAGATAAAGAAGGAGGTGTCCTCGTACATAAAGAAGATCGGCTACAACACCGCCTCGGTGGCCTTCATACCGATATCCGGCTGGCACGGCGACAATATGCTCGAGCCGTCGCCCAAGACCACGTGGTTCAAGGGCTGGAAGGTCGAGCGCAAGGACGGCAACGCCGAGGGCAAGACCCTCATCGAGGCCCTCGACGCCATCCTACAGCCGTCCCGGCCCACCGACAAGCCCCTCCGTCTGCCCCTTCAGGTAAGCCATGTACTACGATTGATTAGTCCCTTGCAAAGGTTGCCACGGTCGATTGGTCGCAGGACGTGTACAAGATCGGTGGTATCGGCACCGTGCCGGTCGGCCGAGTCGAGACAGGCGTCCTTAAGTCGGGCATGGTGGTGACCTTTGCCCCGGCCGCCCTCACCACCGAGGTAAAATCCGTGGAGATGCACCACGAGGCGCTGACCGAGGCCCTGCCCGGAGACAACGTTGGCTTCAACGTCAAAAACATCTCGGTGAAGGAGTTGCGCCGCGGCTACGTGGCCGGGGACTCGAAGAACCAGCCACCCCGGGGTGCCCAGGACTTTGTGGCCCAAGTGATCGTGCTCAACCATCCCGGGCAGATAAGCAACGGGTACACCCCCGTCCTCGACTGCCACACGGCCCACATAGCCTGCAAGTTCGCCGAGATCAAGGAAAAGTGCGACCGCCGTACCGGTGAGTCAATGCTTTGTTGTGTTGGTCGTATATAGGCTTTCGAGGCGGGATATATATATACCTACGCGTTTCTGCAGGCAAGACCACGGAGGAAAATCCAAAGAGCGTGAAGAGCGGCGACGCGGCCATTGTCCTCCTCCAGCCGACCAAGCCGATGTGCGTCGAGTCGTTTCAAGAGTTCCCGCCACTGGGCAGATTCGCGGTGCGCGACATGCGCCAGACCGTCGCCGTGGGGGTCATCAAGGTGCGTATATTATACCTACGTGGATTTTTTATTGGGAAAACAAAATATGCACTCTGTGATGGTGATGATGATGTGTTTGTCGCAGAGCGTCACCTTCAAGGACCTCCAGGGTAAGGTGACAAAGGCCGCGGAGAAGGCCCAGAAGAAAAAGTAACCATCAAGCTTCCTCGGGAGCTGCAGCTTGGAGCCGACCGCGACCCACGACAGCGACCACTACTCGCCACAACTATTATCATTATTACCATTGTATACCGCTGTCAAACTTGCGGCACTCGATCGTCGTCGTCATCTGTTTCATCCCCATTACCACGAACCTCACCGTCAGTATCATCCGGTCAATAAAATCGCCATCGATCCGGTGATAACCACGAGCACCAGTAGCAACGACAATTGCTGCGGGTGTTCCGGGACTAGCGACGAGCCCCAGCGTCGTCACCTCGTTCGCCACGAGCCGGGCGTCCTTCGCTACCCCGTGGTTCTCAATCCGCGCATCTACCCCCACCTGCACATACAATTCACCCACGCGCCACGAACGCCCCAAATATGCTAGGGCTGCCCCGGCGTAGGCCGCGCCCGCTGTTTAACGCCGCCAGAACCATCGTCGTTCTCCACTCGTACTTTTACACCACCGGTTGCCACGTACAACTCGGTTAAATGACACGGGGGCTCGTTGACGCGAGCCCCTAGGATGTATACCACGTAGGGTTATACACACACACATATATATATATATATAAATAATATCAAGGTGGCGGCGCGGCAGCTTCGGGTCTACCACCTCCCTCTCTCTCTCTCTCTCTCTGATGCGCGTCCCTATGGTATACACACACAGTAACTGCATACACGTTTATCCGTGCCGAATGCACATTGATTACGACTGGTTTTTTCATTTTCACCAGATTTTAAAGGTGTGGTTATAATTAATCACCAAGTGCGTGACTTTTTTTTTCGCAACTTTTGCGTTTTGTTGATTTTGGCTGTGTTAAAAACCCACCTTTTGTTCGACAACTTGCACGCGTCGGAATATCAAAAACCTCGAAATCGACAAAGAGAGAGGGAGTCTTATGGAATTGACTTTCATTACCCGCGGAATATCGGCGCTTTTCTCGTTTGCTGTAACGATCCGTGAACGATGAAGGGAGGAAAAAGCTGCGCTTTCGTAAGCGTGTGGCTTTAGGTTTCGTTGATGCATTTCGCGAACAAAAGCAAAGACTAATGGAAAATAAACTCAAGGAAAGATCGAGAGGAAAATGAAACATTCGAAAAAAATTCAAGGATTCGAATGAAACTGTACGTAGACGTAAGTTAATAAATCCAAATCTGTGATTACGAAAAATGTTTTTCATCTTTTTTTTTCATCATTTTTACATTTGTAACGCACATTATTTTTACATTTTCACAGTTCGTAATCTTTTAAAACAGCAATAATATTCGTTCCTATGATCTTGGAAATTTTTAATTAAAAAAAAAAAAAAAGAAATCCGAGTGATGGATAAGAAAATCAATGTAGTACAAAATGTTATGACTAAACTGTTTGACGATGGTCAATTCGAATTCTTGAATTTTTTTAAACAAAACAATGTCTGCGCTACTTGGATCGCAGTACTTATCAAGGCTGAAAGTGCGCGTTTATTCGGAATCACTTGTATTACCGATTACGAATCACAATTGATACTATTACCATTATATTGTAACATTATTACTATTATTACGATGGTAAACATTACTTGTACCATTAGGACTTATTGTTACACTTATTGCTAGTTTTAATATTTATTATTGAAAAAATAATACACATCGGATATTTTCGTTGTTTGAAACAATTGCGAATACATTTACAAAGGTTTATTATTGATGTTTTTTAACGATTATTACCATTGCAGCATGTAAAAACACATTTGATTCAACGTGGTTATCTCGGATGGACTCGTGATGATGATTTCGCAGGCAAACTCTACAGTAATAACATGACGTGAGAAATAAAAAAAAGAAACGATCGATTGCATATTATGAATAATATTATAATAATAGGAATTTGGGGATCAAAATGACATGATTAGTCTTGTAACTTCCCAAATCGATCCCAAAAACTTAAATGGCCCCTAATTATATCACGTATTATGAAAATACAAAAAATAAAATAAAATAATAAGTATAACAAACATAATGTAGGCGCGTTCTGCGAATTGCGTTTACCCGCATTATTCATTCCCCTCATAGTCAGTATTACAATGTATTGAAGAAAAAAAAAAAAATATACACGAGTTTTAATCGCCACTTTATTATGATTTTTCACCTATCATTGTAGCTCTAAAACTCCCTTTCTACGCTTATTAGTACCTTATTTTTATCGTTATACTCGCCCTTGACTAGTACAACGTGTATTTATTTATTACTCTTTAGTGTTTTTAATTATTTTTAATAAAATAAAGTTGATAAGCATTATTTAATTTGTTTAATTTTTTAAAAATTTCCAATACGTGGTATTTTTGATGCCATGAAATTCCGTCAGCATCCAACAACAAATGTTTTGCGCTTTATTTTTTTATTCAACCTGTGTTATGAGTAAATAATAATTTCATTTATCATAGGTTTGAAAGAAAAGGTGCATATAAATAAGGAGATTCGGTTTTAGGTAAATATAAGTATATAATTTATTTCTCTCTCACAAATCCTTGTCTGCATAAACTTTCTTTTTTACAGGCTAAGCAATTTATGTACAAATAATATTTTAATGATAATTAATGCAACGTGTGTGGATGATATTTACAGAAAAAGAGGAAAATTTTTGTTCTCATCTTTCTCCGCGCAGTGTAATGCAAGTCTCGGTCAGTCTTGAGTTGCTGAGGCCCGTTGCTCATTCAGCTTCAGCTCATTTTTCGTGTTACACCGAGCTTTGCAGTGTTTTCACTTTATACATTGTATATTTATTATTTCAATGGCTTTCACTGCTTCGCATTTTTTTTTCACTTTTTTATTTATTTATTTATTATTTTTTTTTTTTTATCGAACACCCTCATCATTTCGTAGTCGTGGTAAACATTACTTATGTCCATTTTTTTGTTTTGTTTTATTTTGTTTTTAAGTCGCGTATATACATAGTTTTGTCTGTTAACTTCCCTATGGTTATTACATACCCTGAAATCGCTATTGATTAAAAAGGTTCGCAATTGTTATTTTTTTTAGCGGTAATAATATTGTAAAATAATTTCATGACAAAGCGTAAAAAATTATTTTTAAAATATCACTGCGACAACCTTTCAACAGATGACGACTTCATTTTTTACTTCACCACTAGCACGAGGATCGTAATATCACAAATTTATACAGTTGGAAATAATACAAAATAGAGATGATGTATACAGTAACAGCTTTGAAATGCACCGTTTCTTTTGAAAAAACTTTATCGCCGAAAACTTGTAGGCTTTCTATTTTTTTCTCAAATTATTTACAACAACTTACAAATCACATGATGAATGATTTCCATTCTCAGACAAGCCGTGACAAAAATTTTGTTACAAAACCAAAATTATCTGCAAAAAAAAAAACGGAGCGTTTCTTCAACACATGAAACATAATCTAATAAATCGTTTTTATACTTAAAAAATGTACAATATTTACTTAAGAATATATTTTAAAAAAAAGTCTTCAACATTCATAAATCTATGTAAACGTAACAATATTACAGCGGGAAGGCCGGAAAAATCAGACCCTCTTTTTCACGAATCATTCAACAATACTTTATTTTTATCTTTCAGTTGTCACGTCGGATGAATCGTAATATCGCCTCTAATTTTAATAGCTCAAGATTTACGGCTTTCAATCGCATGAAAAACTTATGTCATTCGCACTGACGCACTACTATCGTTAGTTTTTTTTTTTCTCGGTCAAAAAAACACACATACACGCTACTCTTTTTTCACGTAAACCACACAACTGAACATTACGTCACACGTCGGTTTATAATAAAAAAAAAGTTCTCATTAAAACAGTAAAACATGGCGTTCTTTACGCAGCGTATCGTCTCGGACGGATCGAGATAATACAAACGCGATCTGGAATAGGCCTGTGTTTATCGAGTCACCGCTAATAAAAACAGAAGAATCGTTCTTGCGCATAAAATGTACATGGTTTGTGTGATTTCGTGTTGTTATGATGTAGTAAAAAAAAAAAAAAAAAAAAAAAAAAAAAAAAAAAAAAAACTTTCAGCACCCAGAAATTGTTAACCAGCTTAAAAGAAAAAGGAAAAGTGAATGATGAAACAAGTCGACAACTTCCTAAGCCTTCCGCAGAAAAAAAAAAGCTATTGGATGTAATTAAAANAAAAAGTGGTCTGATACAACATCATATTTTAATCTTAGCTGTGCCGTGTGTCCAACTCTGAAAACTTAGTTTCGCTCACCGAGTAAATGCTTATATATATATATTAACACTCTGGGACTAGGACTGCCTCTTGTGCCACTTTTTCGTCGTCGTCGAGTTGTAGATATACATTTTTTTTTTTTCCATCATTCGAATCATTCGATCCAATCATCATCTCATTCATCGAGTAATGTAATACTTGAAGAAAAAGAAAGAAAAAAAAAAAAAAATCATGCGCACTGATGTTGCGTCGTTGTCTCTCTCTCTCTCTCTTCCATTTTCGCCACCGATAATGATGATTCTTGAAGATTTCATTGAAAAATGTTTAATCCTCGAGATTAAAAAAACAAACACGTGAAAGCAGGCGCGTCTCCGTCCGAAAAAGTTGAGTGAAAACCAAAGGAAGAAGAAAAACAAAAAGCCGGCCGGTGGCGTCCGACCGCAACCCGACTCGCACTACTGGACCTGATGATGGGCCGGGCTCGGCTGTGCCGACCACGAGGGCGCCACCTGCTGTTGACTCGAGTTGTTGAAGTTGACGGATATGGTGATCGGGTGGAGGACCGTCTCGGGCCCGAGGTCGGAGCCCACGCCAAGGTGGGGCCTCAGCAGGGAGGCCTCGAGGGTCAGCGGGACGTAGAAGCCGCCGTTGTCGTGGAGCGCGAACACCGGCACACCCTGCTGCTGCTGCTGCTGGGAGACATGGGGCTGGCCACTGCGAGTCGGGCTGTCGTGGCGGGGTGGCGGCGAACACGAGCTCTTGATCCTCTGGTCGGCCGAGAACCTTTGCTTTATCGAGTTCTTGAACTTGTACGTCGACGACTGCTGCTGCTGGTGATGGTGCAACAGCCCATTTTCCACGTCCGAGTGGTGGTGGTGGACCGGCATCGTCACGGAGTAGCTGCCACTGGCGTGCGAGTGATTGCTGTGGTTGCTGTCGTCACTCGTCAGAACCGGCGGAGGTACGAGGGCCCTCTGGGAGGACTTGGACTCGCTCGAGTCGTACGAGGAGACACCCGAACTCGAGCACTGGTCCGGACTGGTGCTGCTGCCGGTCCGCAGCGGGTGTGGGTGCTGCAGGTTCAAAATATGGCTGCCGATGTTGTTGGTGGTGGTATTGATGATGGTGTTGTGGGCATTGGTGGCGGTGGCGGATAGGAGGTCGAGGCCGTTGTTGGATGGACACATCAGAGGGACGTTGCCGTTTGTGTGGTTGAAGGTAATCTCGCTGGAGCAGCCGGTGCCGGTCCCCGACGCCAGGTCCATAGGGTGCGGGAAGCCCAGTCTGTCGTCTGAAAAACAATACGTGAGCAACGACTGACGCACATTTGCATCGGCAGATGGGAAGAATCCTTATGCGATTGGGCATTGACTTACTGGTGGCGAGGACTTTGTTGCAGTGCTTCTTGAGGTGTTCGATCAACTGGACGACGAGGTTGTCGCGAGCGAAAAAGCCCTCGACCTCGACGAGAAAGTGCATCGCCTCGCCAAGGCAGTCTTGGTAGCCGAGCTTGTAGTACTCGGCGGCGCTCACGCTCGAGGACGACGACGAGGAGGACGGAGGCGATGGGTGGCTCACGCTGCTGTCCACGCTGTCCTCGGCGTGATGGTTGTGGTGGACCGACGTCACCGGAGTGTGGTGTTTTGAGTCTAGGGGGTACGCGATACAAGGATGTGTAAATTATACGATGTATCGATTGGTGAAATTTGATGGTGTGCAGTTTATGTTACCTTGTCTGAGGTTTTGGAGGTACTTCATGTGACGGATGGCCATCTCGATGATTTCGGTCTTTTCGACCCTGCCCCGGCCCTTTTTAAGGTACTCGGCCGGAATGAGTCGACTCAGGTCGGCCAGACAGTTGTTCATCCGGTCCCTCCTGCGCTTCTCGATTATCCTGTGGGACATTGGATCTTGCTGCAACGAACAAATTGTTTCCAATAAGTTATTATACGTGTGTACCGTTGGCTCATGCTTGTTGTACGTGTAAACATCTATTTTGTGTTTGTAAACATTGTTAATGCGTGGGAGCAAAAATCGCACCACGGTTTTATCGCTTTTGCAAAGTAATTACCAGTTTCGTAAATAATCAATGAAAAAATCACGCGATCGACAACATTGCGAGTATTTTTTGACTTTGACTCAATGGCCGATCTTCCCATTTATTTGTTATGAAAATTTGTGCCGTTTCGATATGACAGTACATCATTTTTCAGACGCGTGCTCAACAAGACCAAGTAACGTACCGTGTTTATATTTTGAATTAACACACTTGTCGTTACGGTTCAACAACATACTAATCGTTTTACAAACAAAGTTTTAAATTTGGATTTCATACGAGTACTGTGTGTTTACTATGTACGATTAAGACGTATTTTTATGTCGTTATTAAACCATGACGATACATGTGTGAATTGAAAATATAAACACGGTATATTACTTAGTCTTGTTTTACACACAAGTCTAAAGAAGCTATACTGTGATACTTGATAGGACTGCGTAACGTTTTATATTGAACAAAGTTATTTATTTATTTAATCAACCTGACATGGATCTTTATCAAGTTACGACCAATACTATCAAACACTATGGTATTATCAAGACGAAGAATGATATTTAATAGCTTCGATAAGCAAACGATGCGGGATGTATTTCATCACGTGAATGGATCTGCCGTTTCAAGAAAAAATCAAAAAATAAATGTTTAATTTTTTTTTAGTTTAAAACATTGAATGTTCCATGGACTCCTGTATTATTATTATTATAATTAATGTCTATAAATATGTGTATTTCCTATAAAACTATCATAGTTTTATAGGAAATACACATATTAATGTCTATAAATATGTGTATTTCCTATAAAACTATGATGTTTGGACGCAAAAAATGAAGGAAAAAAACACGCACTGCATGAAAAAAAAAGGGGCCAAAAAATAAATGGTCACCTTATCGGAAAGGCACCGCCTCTTCCTCGAGGGTGGCGAGTGCACCGCGTCGTCGGCTACAGGTGAATAGTACTGCATATTTAAAATGTTCTCCATACTGTGAGTGACCATCGTAAAAATCACAGCTCAACCGATACACCCATGCACTAAACTACTTTTGCCTCTGATTTCAGCGATGCAGATATATTATTATTTATATATTCAAAACAAACAACACTACACCCCCGAACTTTACGTCACACTCCTCACTTCTCTTGGGAAACAAGAAAAAAAAAATAATAATAATAATAATAAAACCCACAGAGAACTCTCAGCACTCGAGCCGCAAAATCGGTCAAAATCGAAAGAAACGACGAACGTTTGCGAATAGTTTTCGAGCACTTGTATGTTCCGCACTGGGGTAAAAATCGGTACAAGCGTATCGATGTGTCGCTCGCGAGCTTCGCGAGATGAATAAGCAAGCCAGCCGCGAACGAGCTCTTGGCACGTATAGGTATCACACACGGTCTCTCTCGACGCAGTCCACCACCACCGCGACGGCCAGCTCCGCCTCCTCTTATTCGTCATCATCGCGCCGCATCCCTACCATCACCGAGCGGTTTTATCGCCGTCGCGTCGCGCCTCCGTATATAGACCGTCCCCACCTCCTCCTCCTCCTCCTCCTCGGTAACGAGGCTGTCGTAAGCGCGTCTACGCCGCGAGCGGAACACAAATAAATCCCCGAGAGACGTCCGAGAGTTGAGGCGGCGTGTGTGTGTATGTATGAACAAGCGGGTTTTATCACGTGTGTTGCCGGCTTAAACGTTACCTCGCACGTGACGCCTTTACACACCCATACACTTATGTGCCTGTTTTTACGAAGCGCGGAGTAAGTACGGTGTATGTAAGTACACTTGTATGCACAAAGTGCAGAGGACAGGGAAAACGAAGAAGCGCGACGTGCGTGGGAGTTTCTGTTGTTATTATACACGTACTTGTATACTTGCACATACCGATCTCTCTTTCTCTAAACGGTTAAATCGAACATTTTTTTTTTTTTAAGGACGCATTATGATGCTCGGTAACACTGACACTGAAAAATAAGTATCCACCAGTACCGATCTCCCCCCTTTTTTTCTCTTCGATTCGCGGAAAGTTGTTCGCTTACCGATCGCGCAACTAAGCTTTTTGAGTCGTACTTTTGTATCAAACGGTATTATTGTACGAGTGGCTCTTGGCTCCGACTGTATACTACCATAATTTAGGAGATGTACCTATAGTCTCTGTCTTTCTTTGCCGATCTACTAGCTTAAAGTCGTCTCGAGCTGCGGTCGATTTTTGGAGATATCAATGCCGGATTTTTCTTGCAATTCGTTGACGCACGAATGAGTAACATAATATGGTGGGAAGAAAAAAAAAAAAATCTGAATAATAATATCCACTAAAACAGAAAAAAAAACTATACGAAGCGCATAAAATCGCAGTTCGCCCAAATACGTGATCAGCCGCACGTATACATCGAGCCTTTTTTTACTTCTCATTCTCAGCACCTATATAATAATATGCTGCATGTATATACCGCTCCTTCAAGTCGTTTTCTCATTATACACGAATGTCGAAGCTCGCGCGTCAAGGCTATTTATACACCCGTAGGTACGTGTATATAAGCAACAGCGACCCATTGATCCTGACACATTACGTCACGGCCGCGCGCGCGCGTGTTGTTTCTCGTGGAGGGAAATAATCCCATTCAATTTTTCATGGGCGATTATTCCTGTACTTGTTGCGCAAAAGCCATACACGTATACGTACATGTAAAAGGTAGAAATACACGCGCACGAAGAATCCAATAGCAAAGAAAAACTAGGGTTGATGCGCACGCAAAATCGGTAAAACCGCGTTTGGGGACCATAGCATATATACATATACGATACAAACCGAAGAAAAAAGTTTTACTTTCAAATTTTAGCCATCAGAAAAACGCACGATTAAATTAATCATCGCACCCGATGCCGCGAGCTGTAAAAGCGCTTGTGCGTCGCACATACAACAAGTAGGTGTACATAATTAATCGTTGGCGGGAGTGTGGGCCTCACATACACTAAAACGCCAAACAGAGGCGCCTGGCGCGCTTATCTTCTAATCGATCTCTCCTCTTGTCACGACCCTGCCGATAGAGAACACATACGTCAAGAGATATATTGGATGCGCGCGTGGGGGAGAAAAATCGGTGATACTACCGGACTCCCCCCACCCCCCGTACGTACAGTATTTAAACTTCTTCTATCAGGTGTTTGGTTGGAGTAATCGTAAAACACAAGAGTATTAGAGCGACCTTCACAAACATAAACATACATGCACACAATGACATGTAGGCTATACAGATAATATAGTAATGCACTAGAAAAGCGACTTGGGGAGGGAGGGGAGGAGGCAAAGGAGAAGGTCGGTAGGAGCGCGTGCATATAGCGTGTTGGTCCGGAATTTTTACCGATAACGCACCCCCGCGCACGAGTGATAAAATAAAGTATACGTGCATAGCTTCTCTCTTGTTCATGATGCACCAATATTCCGTGTACGTGTGAGGAGTGTGGTTTTATATATATTATATGTACACACACAGTCGAGAGGGAGGACAATGAACCGCGTCTACTCAGCAATAAGTTGTGGGTGATCCAAGCGACGGCAGTGCGACACACAATTTTATTATTAAAACGAGACTGATAAGCCGTTGTCGATGGAATAATGCATTGGGTAAAAAGAGTGACACTGAACGTTGAGTTTTTTTTTTTTTTTTGTTTTTTTTGTTTTCAAGTACTGTTATATTAATGCAACAACGCATATGATGTTCGAGTGACCCTGTGCACAGGATTATAATGAAAAGAGAAAACTGCGATACAGACTTTCAAAAGCTCTTCCAGACACTTAACTATTCCTTCGACGTACAGGACTCTTTATTTAATTTTAGACACCCGTAAAGGATAGCAATAACCTTGACATATCTAATACTTACTTTGGAGTACTACAGTACAAAAAGAAAAAGAAAAAAAAAAAAAAAAAATGAATCCGAGCAAAAGATCGGTATTGGAATACAGAGCCTATACCTCTGAGATGGCGAAAAGAAATCTACAATTCTTCAAGCCCAGCACGTTTTTCCACTTCCAAGTGATGTACGTATACGTGTATATGTGTACGGGTAAGTGATGGACACTGGACACGTTGCTTCGTACAACAGGTACAGTATACGTAAGCATGCGCCAGACGCAAGTGAAAAAGTATGTTCGGAAACGTGCGAGATGTAAGGACACGTGAGCGTACTTAGATACGTAAGCGGAACACCCGAGTTGGAAAGCTTCTTTTTTATTCTTTTTTCTTTTTTAAGCATCATCGCCATGGAGCTGTACCGCAGCCACGTTTTCGTATACGTTACACAGGAACTGCGAACATGTTGCTACTTCCAAACAACCTGCAATGGCTCTCCCTCTAGACTTATGTAAGTCGCGCCTAAGGAAATCGGTACATGTATATTTGGTTGCACGCGCGGACACTTGTACATATACATCAGGTGTCCGTGTGTATTATACACGGGTGAAAGAGCTTTCTCCGAGTGAAAGCTGCAATTTGATCGGCCGATTGTCTCTTCGTTGACTTTTGCGCACTTATTTCGTAAGATGCAACTGTGCGCATATCAATGTGTATAATTAACGTATCGATCGATCGTCGCGCATATTTAGATGCAGAAGAGGGTAAGAAATATTTGTACAGGTTGCGTGGAATTTCGTTTGCATCGAGTTAAGTGGGGTTATACGGATAATAGAGAGCGCAACAACTATATGTGTAATGTAAATGCCAACCACGACGACGTAGCTCCGGTCTGTCATGCGAAACGCGCTCAGCTTCAACTGGATCCAACGGGATATGTCGTTGCGGTAACCCAACCGATTGCAGTTTGGTGTTATTTTTATTAGCAGAGAATGGCTCGTGTGATGCACG